TAAAGCACCAGATTTCATAGGAGTCCAAATTTCATGTGACTAGTGTTTAACACCAGCCAGCCATGTCTTTATTAACCGTTAAGACCAGCCACGTGACATACTCTTGACCAAGAGAAGGGGTTTTAAAACTGTCTTAGGTATTTATGAATATAAATGGACATCTTGCACCTTCAAATTCATGGAAGCACTTGGTAAAAGAGAATTATTGGTCATGAATACCAGTTGTACTTTCTTCAGTGGTGCTCAGTACTGTAGTCGTCTCTTCAACTGTAGTTGACTCTGGAGTAGTTGTGTACACAACAGTGGTTGTCACCTCCTCAGTAGTCGATGGTGCCTCAGTAGTTGATGGTACAGTTGAAGTAACGGTAGTACTCACAACAGTGGTTCTAGCCTCTGTTGTGGAGGCCTCTGTTATTGGGAAAATGATAAAATATTTGTCAGTTGTAATCTTCAAAGGTATAATAAACTTGAAGATTATAAGCTATGAACTTTACCTATTTCCTTTCTTGATTTTTTGTTTTGTACAAAATTGTGTGTTACAGATCATTCCAGCAAGTTTCATAATACTTGAGGCACCTTTGAATGTCATACCGATAAAGCGCATCTTATAAATGCTGTTTATTATTGTTATTATTTTTTCCATTCCCTATCTTATGGTTGATCAATATAATTTCAGCAATTGTATATAAAAGTGCCATAATATTAAATATCAACACAGAAGGGTCAGTTTAATCAACCACTTAGCCCTCAAAGCGCATACAAATGTCAAGTCATTCAATCCTCAAACTTCCCTAAACAGCCCAAGCACTCAAAAGTTTTAAGATTTATGGAGTAAATACAATGTAATACAATTTCATACAAGTGCTAAAAAGTTAAATCCCTACTCGTTAGAAAAATGCTCAAAGCCAATAGCTATGTGTTGACACGCTCAATAGGTGGAAAACCAAGATTGTCAGCTGCTTGCCAAAGAGGGAGCATGTCAGGCTCCAAGCCTCAAGCGTGAATTCAAACTCACAAAACCAGACAAAACACGGAAAGAACAAAAACAGTCTGTCCAACCATTCCAACATCAGATCCAAATGCCACATGAGGTTATATCTAACCTGTTGTAGACTGCACTGTGGTGACTTCCTTTGTGGTAGATTCAGGGGTAGTGGTCACAACTGTTGACTCCTTTGTTTACGTTGATAGGTGGGCAGTTGTTGAAGGTGGGGCAGTTGTTGAGGGAGCCTCAGTAGTTTGTCACGCGAGTAGTTGACTGCCCGTTGTACTTGGAGGACCTATAAGATACAGTCCACAAAGTTTCAATTTGAGTTGGGTGAAAACAAAATATTCTTTGCTCTTTGCTTTTCCTGGTAATTTTTTTTTAAATCTCCTCATGCATTCCTTATAAGGGTCATAATATCAATTAAATCTTAAACCTTCATGGAAGCACTTGGTATAGAGAATTATTTGTTTTGAATTACCAGTTGTGCTTTCTTCAGTGGTGCTCTGTACTGTAGTCGTCTCTTCAACAGTAGTTGACTCTGGAGTAGTTGTGTAAACAACAGTGGTTGTCACCTCCTCAGTAGTTGATGGTGCCTCAGTAGTTGATGGTACAGTAGAAGTAACGGTAGTACTCACCACAGTGGTTCTAGTCTCGGTTGTTGAGACTTCTGTTTAGAGTATTAAAGTCATAATAATGTTACATGCTGGTTTCTATTTTCAATGCAAAAATTCAAGAACAGTGAACACAATCTAGATCACGTTGCATATAATCTGGTAGCACACCGCTACTGTTGGTAATAACATTGATTAACTTTCTCTTCCATAGTTTGATACAAGTTGTTATAGATGATGGCCCAATTGACCTCTGTGGTCCCCTTTTGTTGAATTCTTTCTATCTCACAGTCATTTGGCAATGGACCGATCCAGTAAGCCCCTCCCACTGCGCAGTGGGCAAATTAACACGTGCTCCTCTCAATGCCACACTGCATTTTCCGGCTGCGCGCGTCATACGCGCGTGCTCGCATGTCGGACTTTTGTGCACGCATGTCGGACATAAATCACGACTGTGATTGGTCAGAATACCATGGGGCAGTGCTTACTGGATCAGTCCATTGTTGACTGCTGTGATGTGGGATATGACGTTTTGAACACCCGAGGATACGCCCCTCGGGTGTTCAAAAGGTCATTATGCCACATCAGCGTAGACAATTATTCTTTTGTTATACCTCTGTCTTGGATTCTTTGGAGTGTGATATGAAAAAAGGAGTATACACAACAATCATGACAATCGAACGTCGACTCACATGCATGTCGCGTGCTAAAAAACAGCTGATCATCTGCTACTTCGCTGCTCGCACTCATGTGAGAAAACATGGTGAAAATAGCGTGGGTACTAACAATACAAGCTTTTAACACTGTACTTCCTCTATGAGTGTGCCATGACTTTTTACACAAACTGAACGTGTGATCGTTCTAGGCCAATAAAAATACAGTATTTAAGACAGAGGTATAAAAAAAATTAGTATTAAATCCCTCATACAGTCACATCTAGTTCTGGACAGTCGTGAATTATAATTATATAACCAACATACAGATCCTTGTCATTTGATTGGTGGAACTCGCAAAACGGGACATTCGTTATTTTTCCATTCACACTGTGGCTCAAAAAGTACTATCCGCCCATGGGGAATGGGAAATACTATTCAACAGTTGGGATCATGATGCAGTATTTGTGTGCAAATGCATGTTGGTGTGCACATTCAGCATTGCGCGTAGTGTGTATTGTTCCAAAGAGCCAGCACTACTGCCTTGGGTTCAAACATTTTCGTGAAGGGGTGGTTTGGAAGAGAGAAATACATTTTTCACCAATTTTGTATTGAAATAAAAGTTCAAACTTATCAAATGACAAGGATTTATATGTCAGTTATATAAAACAAATATTGAGTGGCTTTCAATTGTGAAATGGGAGGAATATTATTGCTCGGTAAAATCTGGACTTTCCCAGTTCACTCGGTTGGCCTCTTGAAATGGAAAAGTCCAGATTTTACTTTGCAATAATATCCTCCCATTCCACGCTGATCCACTCAATATTTGTATACTGTTTGATTATCAACATTTTCCCATGCATCAAATATTGTTTAGCAAGTTCTGTTGGAGCACTTGTAGACAATGTTTGCTTTTTTGAGGATTAGCAACAAAACCGTTAGCTCACCTGTTGTTGAGGGTGCCTCTGTTGTTGAGGGTGCACTGGTTGTAGTCACTGTGTTGTTTAAGAAAGCACAATCAAGTATCAATATATTTTTGATCCTACAAACAAAGTTCCTCTAACGATCAGCCATTGACAAAGGTCCTGCTGATTAGGCCATTCACCTTTCTTTGATTTGTATGTTTCAGGTCAATCCAGTCAAGTAAGTAGTTTGCAGCAGTTTGATTCATTTTTCAACGAATAACAAGAAAAGTTGTGTTAAATAAGCTAAAACGCCCCACAACTGTGACTGTTCCCATGACATGACACCACTCTTTTAACATCAACTTACCTGGGTCACATGGAACATTCATTTACATCATTATCGTTTCTTACACTGTATTGACGCCTATGACCCCGGAATACAAATTATTTGTTTGCTTTTCCACTTGGAAGTCATTGTATGTGATTTAAAAGAGTGAGTGAATGTGAATAGATCGTGTACCAGGAACATGAATAAAAGGAGACCAGACCAGTGGGTACACATAGTGCAAAATGTAGGTAGGCAAAATGTGAGGTGCATGTATACTTAAACAATCACAAGGAATAGTTTCCTATTCCTGTATTCAATGAGTACATATGATATCACTATTCTTTCAATTTCAACCATGATGATCTGACAAGTCAAACATGAGTTATCAATTTGGAGTACATATAAGTGTACAGCTAGCTGGTGAGTAACTGACGGTACACATTTTACACAATGCAAAATACAAGTTATTATGTGCACATGTAAAGTGCATGTACACATGTACACGTTGAAGTTTGCATTCAGTACACTTTAAAGGTTGAAAAGTGCCACATCCATGGAAAAAGAAATGTCTGAATAAGTTACCTGTCATGTTGCCCGACAAGTAACTTACTATGATGACATTATTTCTTGTATTTTAATTAGAGCCTAGACATTTGGCATATGAGTCCAAAAGTGATTTGGAAACCCCCAAAACATTCCACCTATTTGCATCTACCGTACCAAGTCCCAAGTTGATATGCACAGTTTTTCTTGAATTACATGTAAATGCTGAGAAAACTATTTCTGATGTTTTAATAAACACATTGACCTTGGCCTAAGGGGTCCAAAAAGTGACAGGTTTCTGGAGGATCCCCATGATAAATTGATTTGACCAGTTTTTTGTGTGTTATGGCGGGAAAAACTTTTCTATTGCTTTAATGAACCAGGGTCCAAACACATTAAGCTGAAGGTGGCAATAGCAAGCTACCTATCAAGGTTCATGACATACATGTCCATCAAGTCCAACTCGTGCTATCATTTTGAAAGCAAAAGTGTGATGCACGCACACATGCTGGCACATAGGTATGTTTATGGTGTAAATCAAGGATTTTCTAAAGTTCCTCATCATCGATCTTTGTTGTTAGTCTACCTTTTTGCTACAGCTCCCATTGGTTTTGTACACGTTTTCTAATCGAGGTCGTCCTTGACTCCTGTCCTCAATTACTCGATGATGCTTCACTTGTGTGTACTCGATTTCCACCATAAACATGCACCCATCTTTGTAAACACTGGCAAACGTGGACCCTATTGTCCCTAATCCTCATTCCTTTGTTTGTACTCAGTACTTTGTTTGTACTTTTTAGCAAGAGCGCTCACTGGTTTTGTACACGAATTTCAATCATGGAATATCGGTCAATCATGGACCCTTTGTTTGTGCCCTAACTCTTTTGTCCCTAGTCCATGATTGCCTGTGTTTACATACTCACGCACACAGACGAGGCAGAAACAGTATTTTCACCGGCGGGGCTTAAAAAAGCAGCACAAACTACTTTTCACTCTTCATTCACATTGCTTTTGTTTTCCTATACTGCAGATAAATCTCCTTGTTTTCATCATCTCTTTTCATATTTCCTCATTTCATTCAATTCTACAGTCGTTCCATCATTATGCTCAAGAAGTAAAGAGAAAATAAGTGACTATAAAAATACCTCCGTGTTCACAACCGTTGAATATCACTTTGTAACCATCTGGGTTTGAGGTGATGATGCAAACTTTGAGTCCGTCACCAACGCCATACTTGATGGTAGATAGATCTTTTGATCTGTTTTGCCAATAAAGATAGGAGAGCCAGCTTCATCTACTAGAGGCAGGTATGGTTGCCTGTCACCTGGTTGAAATTTGAAGGAAACAGTTATGTCTCCCGGTGGGCCTTGTTCTGTCTTTATGATGACCGACGTGATTTCAACCCGTGGGCTGAAGGTAGCCCCAAACATGATCCATTGTGTGTGTGATGTAACATCGTTGGGGTGGGTTGCTAGGGCGCCACCAGTCAGTCGGAGGTAATTCATTGCCTGATTCTGGGTCTTCGCGTATTATCGTCACATTTGGCAATTTGTCAAGATCATCCGCACATACCTCTGGAGTAGTTGATGGTGGTGAAGTAGTTGACACTGATGTGATTCAAAATAAAAATGAAGGAATAAAAAACATAACGATGCATACCATTGAAAATGATGAAAAGATGATGAATGAGAGGTTTGCAGAAACACCATGTGGGAATAATTTCTCAATAACAGAATGGTTCTGAAAAGAACCAGAGGTATTTAGAGCCATTCTCTTAGTTTAAGAAGTTATTCCCACATGGTGTTTCTGCAAACCTTTCATTTATTAGTACCTCCACAACGTAAAGCCTCTAATCTTACTTATGAAACAATAATTTAGTAATTTCTGCTTAATTCTTGCCCCTTTCAGTGGTGTCACTGGGAGTCACAGGCTTTGAGTGGGCAGGGGGAATCCCCTTCCCCATACTCCCCTTTGTTACACTACTGGTCCTGTTAATTTTTTTGTGAGTGTGATTTTATAAGCAGTAATTTTAATACAGGAATTTATATAACATCTGTTTATAAAAAATGAATCCAGTGTCTTGAATGGAGGTATAAATCTGAAACAACCTTACTAATGAAATCAGAATCATTTTTTATACCAATTACGGCCCAATGCACTGAAATAGTGAAATGGCAAGAGGTACCCAGCAGTAGAAAATTTGGGGAAAAAACAAAGTTTGGGGGCCGCTAACCTAAAGCAGCATTGCAAGCAATCAAAACAGTTCAAGACTCAGGCCAAACATTATAGGAGCAATGCTGTAAGTAACTCAAACGTTCCCTTTAACCATGCGACTATCAGAATCAAATGTCTATCCCAAAACCTCTAACCTGTTGTCGACTCCACTGTAGTGACTTCCTTTGTGGTAGATTCAGGGGTAGTAGTCACAACTGTTGTTACCTCCTTGGTTGTTGAAGGTGGAGCAGTTGTTAAAGGTGGAGCAGTTGTTGAAGGTGGGGCAGTTGTTGAGGGTGGGGCAGTTGTTGAGGGTGGGCAGTTGTTGAAGGTGGGGCAGTTGTTGAAGGTGGAGCAGTCGTTGAAGGTGGGGCAGTTGTTGAAGGTGGGGCAGTTGTTGAAGGTGGGGCAGTTGTTGAGGGTGGGACAGTTGTTGAGGGAGCCTCAGTAGTTGTCACACGAGTAGTTGACTTCTCTGTTGTACTTGGAGGACCTAAAAGATAAAGTCCACAAAGTTTTAACTTGAGTGGGGTTAAAACAAAATAACATTCAGCTCTTTTGCTCTTTACTGATCTTCATTTCAATGAGAAACTTATTTTCTATTCCATTGTAAAGGCCTAAAAGGAAACAAAAATTCCTGATATATTCCTTATTAGGGTCATAATTAGGGAAGATACAACATTTGCAAACATCAAAAAATGATATGATCAAATTATCACGAAATATTTTATTGGATTGTAAGGGAATGAAAGTCCAAAGCATCCTTTAAAATTGTGGCTCCAGGTGTGCTGACATTTTCAGGAAAACTTGAATTTTTCCAACGCTGGTTGCCGACCAGCGTTGGAGAAAAATGGCTTTTTTTTTCAAAACTGCTTCTAAGTTTTCATATTTAGTTATTCCACATTTTCTTTGCAATTGATTACACCTCTGTGAAGGGGTTCAAGCCTGCTAGACTGATTCTCTGACCTTACAATTCCCCAAAGTATATAAATTGTTCTGTTTCATCTTAAGTGGGATCAGGGAACCAGACTACAAGAAAATGGTTGGTTTTCTTGGATTTTCCAGCATCTCCAAACCCAAAATGTGAAGCAAGTCAGTTTAACAATATTTGCTATGACATACTAATTCCAAATTCATTTATTTCTGACAATTGAAGCAAATGTTGTACATTCCCTTGAAACAAAGTGTTTAATACGGTCAAGTACATATTTATTCCCATTCATCAATACCTTTTGGTTAAATAATCAAAACTTTTCAGTCCAAAAGACAAAAGTGTTCAACAAGTTTATCTCATGTTTTTTGGGACACCCTTCAAGCATTATTATGGTATGTCCAGTCTCGCGAGTGTTGTAAAAAAAACTCCTTATAAATTACGGAGATTGGCGTGCGCATCACATGCACCAGTGCAAGTGTGCGCATAACGCAGCTGTGCCGGTGTATTGTAAATTAGGACTACGAAATTCTGAACCACCGGTAGTATTACGCATGCCTATGTGAGCCAAATTGTGAACCTTCAACCGATAAAACGGTAAAGCACCAGATTTCATAGAGTCCAAATTTCATGTGACTAGTGTTTAACACCAGCCAGCCATGTCTTTATTAACCGTTGAAGACCAGCCCGTGACATACTCTGGACCAAGAGGAATGGGGTTTTAAAAACTGTCTTAGGTATTTATGAATATAAATGACATCTTGCACCTTCAAATCATGGAAGCACTTGGTAAAAGAGAATTATTGTTCATGAATTACCAGTTGTACTTTCTTCAGTGGTGCTCAGTACTGTAGTCGCTCTTCAACTGTAGTTGACTCTGGAGTAGTTGTGTACACAACAGTGGTTGTCACCTCCTCAGTAGTCGATGGTGCCTCAGTAGTTGACGGTACAGTTGAAGTAACGGTAGTACTCACAACAGTGGTTCTAGCCTCTGTCGTGGAGGCCTCTGTTATTGGGAAAATGATAAAATGTTTGTCAGTTGTAATCTTCAAAGGTATAATAAACTTGAAGATTATAAGCTATGAACTTTACCTATTTCCTTTCCTTGATTTTTTGTTTTGTACAAAATTGTGGTACAGATCATTCCAGCAAGTTTTCATAATACTTGAGGCACCTTTGAATGTCATACCGATAAAGCGCGCCTTATAAATGCTGTTTATTATTGTTATTATTTTTCCATTTCCCTATCTTATGGTTGATCAATATAATTTCAGCAATTGTATATAAAAGTGCCATAATATTAAATATCAACACAGAAGGGTCAGTTTAATCAACCACTTAGCCCTCGAAGCGCATACAAATGTCAAGTCATTCAATCCTCAAACTTCCCTAAACAGCCCAAGCACTCAAAAGTTTTAATGATTTATGGAGTAAATACAATGTAATACAATTTCATACAAGTGCTAAAAGTTAAATTCCCTACTCATTAGAAAAATGCTCAAAGCCAAATAGCTATGTGTGACCCGCTCAATAGGTGGAAAACCAAGATTGTCAGCTGCTTGCCAAAGAGGGCATGTCAGGCTCCAAGCCTCAAGCGGAATTCAAACTCACAAACCAGACACTAACATGGAAAGAACAAAAACAGTCTGTCTAACCATTCCAACATCAGATCCAAATGCCACATGAGGTTGTATCTAACCTGTTGTAGACTGCACTGTGGTGACTTCCTTGTGGTAGATTCAGGGGTAGTGGTCACAACTGTTGTTACCTCCTTGGTCGTTGAAGGTGGGGCAGTTGTTGAAGGTGGGGCAGTTGTTGAGGGAGCCTCAGTAGTTGTCACGCGAGTAGTTGACTGCTCCGTTGTACTTGGAGGACCTATAAGATACAGTCCACAAAGTTTCAATTTGAGTTAGGTGAAAACAAAATATTCTTTTGCTCTTTGCTCTTTCCTGGTAATTTTTTTTTTTAAATCTCCTCATGCTTCCATATAAGGGTCATAATATCAATTAAATCTTGAACCTTCATGGAAGCACTTGGTATAAGAGAATTTTTGTTTTGAATTACCAGTTGTACTTTCTTCAGTGGTGCTCTGTACTGTAGTCGTCTCTTCAACAGTAGTTGACTCTGGAGTAGTTGTGTACACAACAGTGGTTGTCACCTCCTCAGTAGTCGATGGTGCCTCAGTAGTTGATGGTACAGTTGAAGTAACGGTAGTACTCACAACAGTGGTTCTAGCCTCTGTCGTGGAGGCCTCTGTTATTGGGAAAATGATAAAATGTTTGTCAGTTGTAATCTTCAAAGGTATAATAAACTTGAAGATTATAAGCTATGAACTTTACCTATTTCTTTTCCTTGATTTTTTGTTTTGTACAAAATTGTGGTACAGATCATTCCAGCAAGTTTTCATAATACTTGAGGCACCTTTGAATGTCATACCGATAAAGCGCGCCTTATAAATGCTGTTTATTATTGTTATATTTTTTTCCATTTCCTTCATGAATCTTATCTTATAGTTGATAAATATGATTTCAGCAATTGCATATAAAAGTGCCATAATATTAAATATCAACACAGAAGGGTCAGTATAATCAGCCACTTAGCCCTCAAAGTGCCAACAAATGTCAAGTCATTCAATCCTCAAATTTCCCCAAACAGCCCTAGCACTCAAAGTTTTCTTGATTTTTGGAGTAAATACAAGGTAATACAATTTCATACAAGTGCTAAAAAGTTAAATTCCCTACTCGTTAGAAAAATGCTCAAAGCCAAATAGCTATGTGTTGACCCGCTCAATAGGTGGAGGAACCAAGATTGTCAGCTGCTTGCCAAAGAGGGCATGTCAGGCTCCAAGCCTCAAGCGGAATTCAAACTCACAAACCAGACACTAACATGGAAAGAACAAAAACAGTCTGTCTAACCATTCCAACATCAGATCCAAATGCCACATGAGTTTATATCTAACCTGTTGTAGACTGCACTGTGGTGACTTCCTTTGTGGTAGATTCAGGGGTAGTGGTCACAACTGTTGTTACCTCCTTGGTCGTTGAAGGTGGGGCAGTTGTTGAAGGTGGGGCAGTTGTTGAAGGTGGGGCAGTTGTTGAGGGAGCCTCAGTAGTTGTCACGCGAGTAGTTGACTGCTCCGTTGTACTTGGAGGACCTATAAGATACAGTCCACAAAGTTTCAATTTGAGTTGGGTGAAAACAAAATAATCTTTTGCTCTTTTTGCTTTACTGGTCTTTATTTTCTAAAATCTCCTGATGTGTTCCTTATAAGGGTCATAATATCAATTAAATCTTGAACCTTCATGGAAGCACTTGGTATAAGAGAATTATTTGTTTTGAATTACCAGTTGTGCTTTCTTCAGTGGTGCTCTGTACTGTAGTCGTCTCTTCAACAGTAGTTGACTCTGGAGTAGTTGTGTACACAACAGTGGTTGTCACCTCCTCAGTAGTTGATGGTGCCTCAGTAGTTGATGGTACAGTAGAAGTAACGGTAGTACTCACCACAGTGGTTCTAGTCTCGGTTGTTGAGACTTCTGTTTAGAGTATTAAAGTCATAATAATGTTACATGCTGGTTTCTATTTTCAATGCAAAAATTCAAGTGAACACAATCTAGATCACGTTGCATATAATCTGGTAGCACACCGCTACTGTTGGTAATAACATTGATTAACTTTCTCTTCCATAGTTTGATACAAGTTGTTATAGATGATGGCCCAATTTGACACTCTGTTGTCCCCCTTTTGTTGAATTCTTTCTATCTCACAGTCATTTGGCAATGGACCGATCCAGTAAGCCCCTCCCACTGCGCACGTGGGCAAATTAACACGTGCTCCTCTCCAATGCCACTGCATTTTCGGCTGCGCGCGTCATATACGCGTGTGCTCGCATGTCGGACTTTTGTGCACGCATGTCGGACATAAATCACGACTGTGATTGGTCAGAATACCATGGGGCAGTGCTTACTGGATCGGTCCATTGTTGACTGCTGTGATGTGGGATATGACGTTTTGAACACCCGAGGATACGCCCCTCGGGTGTTCAAAGGTCATTATGCCACATCAGCGTAGACAATTATTCTTTTGTTATACCTCTGTCTTGGATTCTTTGGAGTGTGATATGAAAAAAAGGGAGTATACACAACAATCATGACAATCGAACGTCGACTCACATGCATGTCGCGTGCTAAAACAGCTGATCATCTGCTACTTCGCTGCTCGCACTCATGTGAGAAAACATGGTGAAAATAGCGTGGGTACTAACAATACAAGCTTTTAACACTGTACTTCCTCTATGAGTGTGCCATGACTTTTTACACAAACTGAACGTGTGATCGTTCTAGGCCAATAAAAATACAGTATTTAAGACAGAGGTATAAAAAAAATTAGTATTAAATCCCTCATACAGTCACATCTAGTTCTGGACAGTCGTGAATTATAATTATATAACCAACATACAGATCCTTGTCATTTGATTGGTGGAACTCGCATAACGGGACATTCGTTATTTTTTCCATTCACACTGTGGCTCAAAAAGTACTATCCGCCCATGGGGAATGGGAAATACTATTCAACAGTTGGGATCATGATGCAGTATTTGTGTGCAAATGCATGTTGGTGTGCACATTCAGCATTGCGCGTAGTGTGTATTGTTCCAAAGAGCCAGCACTACTGCCTTGGGTTCAAACATTTTCGTGAAGGGGTGGTTTGGAAGAGAGAAATACATTTTTCACCAATTTTGTATTGAAATAAAAGTTCAAACTTATCAAATGACAAGGATTTATATGTCAGTTATATAAAACAAATATTGAGCGGCTTTCAATTGTGAAATGGGAGGAATATTATTGCTCGGTAAAATCTGGACTTTTCCAGTTCACTCGGTTTGCCTCGTGAAATGGAAAAGTCCAGATTTTACTTTGCGATAATATTCCTCCCATTCCACGCTGATCCACTCAATATTTGTATACTGTTTGATTATCAACATTTTCCCATGCATCAAATATTGTTTAGCAAGTTCTGTTGGAGCACTTGTAGACAATTTTTGCTTTTTTGAGGATTAGCAACAAAACCGTTAGCTCACCTGTTGTTGAGGGTGCCTCTGTTGTTGAGGGTGCACTGGTTGTAGTCACTGTGTTGTTTAAGAAAGCACAATCAAGTATCAATATATTTTTGATCCTACAAACAAAGTTCCTCTAACGATCAGCCATTGACAAAGGTCCTGCTGATTAGGCCATTCACCTTTCTTTGATTTGTATGTTTCAGGTCAATCCAGTCAAGTAAGTAGTTTGCAGCAGTTTGATTCATTTTTCAACGAATAACAAGAAAAGTTGTGTTAAATAAGCTAAAACGCCCCACAACTGTGACTGTTCCCATGACATGACACCACTCTTTTAACATCAACTTACCTGGGTCACATGGAACATTCATTTACATCATTATCGTTTCTTACACTGTATTGACGCCTATGACCCCGGAATACAAATTATTTGTTTGCTTTTCCACTTGGAAGTCATTGTATGTGATTTAAAAGAGTGAGTGAATGTGAATAGATCGTGTACCAGGAACATGAATAAAAGGAGACCAGACCAGTGGGTACACATAGTGCAAAATGTATGTAGGCAAAATGTGAGGTGCATGTATACTTAAACAATCACAAGGAATAGTTTCCTATTCCTGTATTCAATGAGTACATATGATATCACTATTCTTTCAATTTCAACCATGATGATCTGACAAGTCAAACATGAGTTATCAAATTTGGAGTACATATAAGAGTACAGCTGGCTGGTGAGTTACTGACGGTACACATTTTACACAAAGCAAAATACAAGTTATTATGTGCACATGTAAAAGTGCATGTACACATGTACACGTTGAAGTGTGCATTCAGTACACTTTAAAGGTTGAAAAGTGCCACATCCATGGAAAAAGAAATGTCTGTATAAGTTACCTGTCATGTTGCCCGACAAATAACTTATTATGATGACATTATTTCTTGTATTTTAATTAGAGCCTAGACATTTGGCATATGAGTCCAAAAGTGATTTGGAAACCCCCAAAACATTCCACCTATTTGCATCTACCGTACCAAGTCCCAAGTTGATATGCACAGTTTTTCTTGAGTTACATGTAAATGCTGTGAAAACTATTTCTGATGTTTTAATAAACACATTGACCTTGGCCTAAGGGTCCAAAAAGTGACAGGTTTCTGGAGGATCCCCATGATAAATTGATTTGACCAGTTTTTTGTGTGTTATGGCGGGAAAAACTTTTCTATTGCTTTAATGAACCAGGGTCCAAACACATTAAGCTGAAGGTGGCAATAGCAAGCTACCTATCAAGGTTCATGACATACATGTCCATCAAGTCCAACTCGTGCTATCATTTTGAAAGCAAAAGTGTGATGCACGCACACATGCTGGCACATAGGTTTGTTTATGGTGTAAATCAAGGATTTTCTAAAGTTCCTCATCATCGATCTTTTGTTGATAGTCTACCTTTTTTGCTACAGCTCCCATTGGTTTTGTACACGTTTTCTAATCGAGGTCGTCCTTGACTCCTGTCCTCAATTACTCGATGATGCTTCACTTGTGTGTACTCGATTTCCACCATAAACATGCACCCATCTTTGTAAACACTGGCAATCGTGGACCTCTATTGTCCCTAATCCTCATTCCTTTGTTTGTACTCAGTTTTTGTTTGTACTTTTTAGCAAGAGCGCTCACTGGTTTTGTACACGAATTTCAATCATGGAATATCGGTCAATCATGGACCCTTTGTTTGTGCCCTAACTCTTTTGTCCCTAGTCCATGATTGCCTGTGTTTACATACTCACGCACACAGACGAGGCAGAGAAACAGTATTTTCACCGGCGGGGCTTAAAAAAGCAGCACAAACTACTTTTCACTCTTCATTCACATTGCTTTTGTTTTCCTATACTGCAGATAAATCTCCTTGTTTTCATCATCTCTTTTCATATTTCCTCATTTCATTCAATTCTACAGTCGTTCCATCATTATGCTCAAGAAGTAAAGAGAAAATAAGTGACTATAAAAATACCTCCGTGTTCACAACCGTTGAATATCACTTTGTAACCATCTGGGTTTGAGGTGATGATGCAAACTTTGAGTCCCGTCACCAACGCCATACTGGATGGTAGATAGATCTTTTGATCTGTTTTGCCAATAAAGATAGGAGAGCCAGCTTCATCTACTAGAGGCAGGTATGGTTGCCTGTCACCTGGTTGAAATTTGAAGGAAACAGTTATGTCTCCCGGTGGGCCTTGTTCTGTCTTTATGATGACCGACGTGATTTCAACCCGTGGGCTGAAGGTAGCCCCCAAACATGATCCATTGTGTGGTGATGTAACATCGTTGGGTGGGTTGCTAGGGCGCCACCAGTCAGTCGGAGGTAATTCATTGCCTGATTCTGGGTCTTCGCGTATTATCGTCACATTTGGCAATTTGTCAAGATCATCCGCACATACCTCTGGAGTAGTTGATGGTGGTGAAGTAGTTGACACTGATGTGATTCAAAATAAAAATGAAGGAAATAAAAAACATAAAGATGCATACCATTGAAAATGATGAAAAGATGATGAATGAGAGGTTTGCAGAAACACCATGTGGGAATAATTTCTCAATAAGAGAATGGTTCTGAAAAGAACCAGAGGTATTTAGAGCCATTCTCTTAGTTTAAGAAGTTATTCCCACATGGTGTTTCCGCAAACCTTTCATTTATTAGTACCTCCACAACGTAAAGCCTCAAATCTTACTTATGAAACAATAATTTAGTAATTTCTGCTTAATTCTTGCCCCTTTCAGTGGTGTCACTGGGAGTCACAGGCTTTGAGTGGGCAGATGGAATCCCCTTCCCCATACTCCCCTTTGTTACACTACTGGTCCTGTTAATTTTTTGTGAGTGTGATTTTATAAGCAGTAATTTTAATACAGGAATTTATATAACATCTGTTTATAAAAAATGAATCCAGTGTCTTGAATGGAGGTATAAATCTGAAACAACCTTACTAATGAAATCAGAATCATTTTTTATACCAATTATGGCCCAATGCACTGAAATAGTGAATGGCAAGAGGTACCCAGCAGTAGAAAATTTGGGGAAAAAACAAAGTTTGGGGGCCGCTAACCTAAAGCAGCATTGCAATCAATCTAAACAGTTCAAGACTCAGGCCAAACATTATAGGAGCAATGCTGTAAGTAACTCAAACGTTCCCTTTAACCATGCGACTATCAGAATCAAATGTCTATCCCAAAACCTCTAACCTGTTGTCGACTCCACTGTAGTGACTTCCTTTGTGGTAGATTCAGGGGTAGTAGTCACAACTGTTGTTACCTCCTTGGTTGTTGAAGGTGGAGCAGTTGTTAAAGGTGGAGCAGTTGTTGAAGGTGGGGCAGTTGTTGAGGGTGGGGCAGTTGTTGAGGGTGGGGCAGTTGTTGAAGGTGGAGCAGTCGTTGAAGGTGGGGCAGTTGTTGAAGGTGGGGCAGTTGTTGAAGGTGGGGCAGTTGTTGAGGGTGGGACAGTTGTTGAGGGAGCCTCAGTAGTTGTCACACGAGTAGTTGACTTCTCTGTTGTACTTGGAGGACCTAAAAGATAAAGTCCACAAAGTTTTAACTTGAGTGGGGTTAAAACAAAATAACATTCAGCTCTTTTGCTCTTTACTGATCTTCATTTCAATGAGAAACTTATTTTCTATTCCATTGTAAAGGCCTAAAAGGAAACAAAAATTCCTGATATATTCCTTATTAGGGTCATCATTAGGGAAGATACAACATTTGCAAACATCAAAAAATGATATGATCAAATTATCACGAAATATTTTATTGGATTGTAAGGGAATGAAAGTCCAAAGCATCCTTTAAAATTGTGGCCCAGGTGTGCTGACATTTTCAGGAAAATTTGTATTTTTCCAACGCTGGTCGGCCGACCAGCGTTGGAGAAAACTGGCTTTTTTTTTCAAAACTGCTTCTAAGTTTTCATATTTAATTATTCCACATTTTCTTTGCAATTGATTACACCTCTGTGAAGGGGTTCAAGCCTGCTAGACTGATTCTCTGACCTTACAATTCCCCAAAGTATATAAATTGTTCTGTTTCATCTTAAGTGGGATCAGGGAACCAGACTACAAGAAAATGGTTGGTTTTCCTGGATTTTCCAGCATCTCCAAACCCAAAATGTGAAGCAAGTCAGTTTAACAATATTTGCTATGACATACTAATCTTCCAAATTCATTTATTTCTGACAATTGAAGCAAATGTTGTACATTCCCTTTAAACAAAGTGTTTAATACCGGTCAAGTACATATTTATTCCCATTCATCAATACCTTTTCGGTCAAATAATCAAAACTTTTCAGTCCAAAAGACAAAAGTGTTCAACAAGTTTATCTCATGTTTTTTGGGACACCCTTCAAGCATTATTATGGTATGTCCAGTCTCGCGAGTGTTGTAAAAAAAACTCCTTATAAATTACGGAGATTGGTGTGTGCATCACACGCACTAGCAATGTGGCGCATAACGCAGCTGTGCCGGTGTATTGTAAATTAGGACTACGAAATTCTGAACCACCGGTAGTATTACGCATGCCTATGTGAGCCAAATTGTGACCTTCAACCGATAAAACGGTAAAGCACCAGATTTCATAGGAGTCCAAATTTCATGTGACTAGTGTTTAACACCAGCCAGCCATGTCTTTATTAAGGGAATAAATGTGTGCTCCGGAGGTTTTTATCACTCGTTTAATACCGCTTAGAGTCTGGGTGCTGATAATTACCCGAGCCGGAGGCGAGGGTAATTATCAGCACCCAGACTATAAGCGGTATTAAACAGAGTGATAAATACCGACCGAGCACATATTTATTCCCATTCATAAATACCTTATCCGTAAAAAAATATCAAATAATTCGTTCAAAAAATCCCGATTTTGTTCAACAAGTTCACTTCATGCTTTTTGAAACATCCCTCTAGCAAAATAATGGAGTGTTCTGCTGGCGAGTAAGATGTAAACAACCCTTTTATGGAGATTGACGCGCGCGTAACATGTTCTGCGCGATGTCACGCAGAACGCACCTGGGGCGTTGCGTTTTGAATTTAGAACTATAAAATTCTGACTCGCTTGTAGTGTTGCGCATGCCTACGTGAGGATTGTGAACGTTCAACCAATGAAACGGTAAGAGGCACTGGATTTTTAGGAGTCCACATTTTATTGTGACACTGGAAAAGTGTTTAAGACCAGCTAGCCATGTCTTTATCATCCGTTTAAGACCGGCCACGTGACGGGCTCTCGACCAATAGGAATAGCTAAACTGTCTGAGGTATTTATGAATAACCGTTGAAGACCAGCCACGTGACATACTCTCGACCAAGAGGAATGGGGTTTTTAAAAACTGTCTTAGGTATTTATGAATATAAATGACATCTTGCACCTTCAAATTCATGGAAGCACTTGGTAAAAGAGAATTATTGGTCTTGAATTACCAGTTGTACTTTCTTCAGTGGTGCTCAGTACTGTAGTCGTCTCTTCAACTGTAGTTGACTCTGGAGTAGTTGTGTACACAACAGTGGTTGTCACCTCCTCAGTAGTCGATGGTGCCTCAGTAGTTGACGGTACAGTTGAAGTAACGGTAGTACTCACAACAGTGGTTCTAGCCTCTGTTGTGGAGGCCTCTGTTATTGGGAAAATGATAAAATGTTTGTCAGTTGTAATCTTCAAAGGTATAATAAACTTGAAGATTATAAGCTATGAACTTTACCTATTTCCTTTCCTTGATTTTCTGTTTTGTACAAAATTGTGGTACAGATCATTCCAGCAAGTTTTCATAATACTTGAGGCACCTTTGAATGTCATACCGATAAAGCGCACCTTATAAATGCTGTTTATTATTGTTATTATTTTTTCCATTTCCCTATCTTATGGTTGATCAATATAATTTCAGCAATTGTATATAAAAGTGCCATAATATTAAATATCAACACAGAAGGGTCAGTATAATCAACCACTTAGCCCTCGAAGCGCATACAAATGTCAAGTCATTCAATCCTCAAACTTCCCTAAACAGCCCAAGCACTCAAAAGTTTTAATGATTTATGGAGTAAATACAATGTAATACAATTTCATACAAGTGCTAAAAAGTTAAATTCCCTACTCGTTAGAAAAATGCTCAAAGCCAAATAGCTATGTGTTGACACGCTCAATAGGTGGAAAACCAAGATTGTCAGCTGCTTGCCAAAGAGGGCATGTCAGGCTCCAAGCCTCAAGCGGAATTCAAACTCACAAACCAGACACTAACATGGAAAGAACAAAAACAGTCTGTCTAACCATTCCAACATCAGATCCAAATGCCACATGAGGTTGTATCTAACCTGTTGTAGACTGCACTGTGGTGACTTCCTTTGTGGTAGATTCAGGGGTTGTGGTCACAACTGTTGTTACCTCCTTGGTCGTTGAAGGTGGGGCAGTTGTTGAAGGTGGGGCAGTTGTTGAGGGAGCCTCAGTAGTTGTCACGCGAGTAGTTGACTGCTCCGTTGTACTTGGAGGACCTATAAGATACAGTCCACAAAGTTTCAATTTGAGTTAGGTGAAAACAAAATATTCTTTTGCTCTTTGCTCTTTCCTGGTAATTTTTTTTTTTAAATCTCCTCATGCATTCCATATAAGGGTCATAATATCAATTAAATCTTGAACCTTCATGGAAGCACTTGGTATAAGAGAATTATTTGTTTTGAATTACCAGTTGTACTTTCTTCAGTGGTGCTCTGTACTGTAGTCGTCTCTTCAACAGTAGTTGATTCTGGAGTAGTTGTGTACACAACAGTGGTTGTCACCTCCTCAGTAGTCGATGGTGCCTCAGTAGTTGACGGTACAGTTGAAGTAACGGTAGTACTCACAACAGTGGTTCTAGCCTCTGTCGTGGAGGCCTCTGTTATTGGGAAAATGATAAAATGTTTGTCAGTTGTAATCTTCAAAGGTATAATAAACTTGAAGATAATAAGCTATGAACTTTACCTATTTCGTTTCCTTGATTTTTTTTTATGTACAAGATTTTGGTACAGATCATTCCAGAGAGTTTTCATAATACTTGAGGCACCTTTGAATGTCATAACGATAAGCGCACCTTATAAATGCTGTTTATTATTGTTATTATTTTTTTCCATTTCCTTATCTTATAGTTGATCAATATAATTTCAGCAATTGTATATAAAAAAGTGCTATAATATTAAATATAAACACAGAAGGGTCAGTATAATCAACCACTTAGCCCTCAAAGCGCCAACAAATGTCAAGTCATTCAATCCTCAAACTTCGCCAAACAGCCCTAGCACTCAAAATTTTATTGATTTATGGAGTAAATACAATGTAATACAATTTCATACAAGTGCTAAAAAGTTAAATTCCCTACCCGTTAGAAAAATGCTCAAAGCCAAATAGCTATGTGTTGACACGCTCAATAGGTGGAAAACCAAGATTGTCAGCTGCTTGCCAAAGAGGGCATGTCAGGCTCCAAGCCTCAAGCGGAATTCAAACTCACAAACCAGACACTAACATGGAAAGAACAAAAACAGTCTGTCTAACCATTCCAACATCAGATCCAAATGCCACATGAGGTTGTATCTAACCTGTTGTAGACTGCACTGTGGTGACTTCCTTTGTGGTAGATTCAGGGGTAGTGGTCACAACTGTTGTTACCTCCTTGGTCGTTGAAGGTGGGGCAGTTGTTGAAGGTGGGGCAGTTGTTGAGGGAGCCTTAGTAGTTGTCACGCGAGTAGTTGACTTCTCCGTTGTACTTGGAGGACCTATAAGATCCACAAAGTTTCAATTTGAGTTGGGTGAAAACAAAAAATCTTTTGCTCTTTTTGCTTTACTGGTCTTTATTTTCTAAAAATCTCCTGATGTGTTCCTTATAAGGGTCATAATATCAATTAAATCTTGAACCTTCATGGAAGCACTTGGTATAAGAGAATTATTTGTTTTGAATTACCAGTTGTGCTTTCTTCAGTGGTGCTCAGTACTGTAGTTGTCTCTTCAATAGTAGTTGACTCTGGAGTAGTTGTGTAAACAACAGTGGTTGTCACCTCCTCAGTAGTTGATGGTGCCTCAGTACTTGATGGTACAGTAGAAGTAACGGTTGTACTCACCACAGTGGTTCTAGCCTCGGTTGTTGAGACTTCTGTTTAGAGTATTAAAGTCATAATAATGTTACATGCTGGTTTCTATTTTCAATGCAGAAAATTCAAGTGAACACAATCTAGATCACGTTGCATATAATCTGGTAGCACACCGCTACTGTTGGTAATAACATTGATTAACTTTCTCTTCCATAGTTTGATACAAGTTGTTATAGATGATGGCCCAATTTGACACTCTGTTGTCCCCCTTTTGTTGAATTCTTTCTATCTCACAGTCATTTGGCAATGGACCGATCCAGTAAGCCCCTCCCACTGCGCACGTGGGCAAATTAACACGTGCTCCTCTCCAATGCCACACTGCATTTTCCGGCTGGTTCGGTTCGCCTCGGTTCGCCTCGTGAAATGGAAAAGTCCAGATTTTACTTTACGATAATATTCCTCCCATTCCAGGCTGATCCACTCAATATTTGTATACTGTTTGATTATCAACATTTTCCCATGCATCAAATATTGTTTAGCAAGTCCTGTTGGAGCACTTGTAGACAATTTTTTTTGCTTTTTTGAGGATTAGCAACAAAACCGTTAGCTCACCTGTTGTTGAGGGTGCCTCTGTTGTTGAGGGTGCACTGGTTGTAGTCACTGTGTTGTTTAAGAAAGCACAATCAAGTATCAATATATTTTTGATCCTACTCTTTTTATAAACAGAACTAAACAACTACTACAAAAATCAACAACATTTCATGGCCTAATGTTTTGATCCTAGTAGAAAGTTTGACAAAGTTCCTCTAACGATCAGCCATTGACAAAGGTCCTGCTGATTAGGCCATTCACCTTTCTTTGATTTGTATGTTTCAGGTCAATCCAGTCAAGTAAGTAGTTTGCAGCAGTTTGATTCATTTTTCAACGAATAACAAGAAAAGTTGTGTTAAATAAGCTAAAATGCCCCACAACTGTGACTGTTCCCATGACATGACACCACTCTTTTAACATCAACTTACCTGGGTCACATGGAACGTTCATTTACATCATTATCATATCTTTAGGTTACACTGTATTAACGCCTATGACCCCGGAATACAAATTATTTGTTTGCTTTTCCACTTGGAAGTCATTGTATGTGATTTAAAAGAGTGAGTGAATGTGAATAGATCCTGTACCAGGAACATGAATAAAAGGAGACCAGACCAGTGGGTACACATAGTGCAAAATGTATGTAGGCAAAATGTGAGGTGCATGTATACTTAAACAATCACAAGGAATAGTTTCCTATTCCTGTATTCAATGAGTACATATGATATCACTATTCTTTCAATTTCAACCATGATGATCTGACAAGTCAAACATGAGTTATCAAATTTGGAGTACATATAAGTGTACAGCTGGCTGGTGAGTAACTGACGGTACACATTTTACACAATGCAAAATACAAGTTATTATGTGCACATGTAATAGTGCATGTACACATGTACACGTTGAAGTTTGCATTCAGTACACTTTAAAGGTTGAAAAGTGCCACATCCATGGAAAAAGAAATGTCTGTATAAGTTACCTGTCATGTTGCCTGACAAGCCACTTATTATGATGACATTATTTCTTGTATTTTAATTAGAGCCTAGACATTTGGCATATGAGTCCAAAAGTGATTTGGAAACCCCCAAAACATTCCACCTATTTGCATCTACCGTACCAAGTCCCAAGTTGATATGCACAGTTTTTCTTGAGTTACATGTAAATGCTGAGAAAACTATTTCTGATGTTTTAATAAACACATTGACCTTGGCCTAAGGGGTCCAAAAAGTGACAGGTTTCTGGAGGATCCCCATGATAAATTGATTTGACCAGTTTTTTGTGTGTTATGGCGGGAAAAACTTTTCTATTGCTTTAATGAACCAGGGTCCAAACACATTAAGCTGAAGGTGGCAATAGCAAGCTACCTATCAAGGTTCATGACATACATGTCCATCAAGTCCAACTCGTGCTATCATTTTGAAAGCAAAAGTGTGATGCACGCACACATGCTGGCACATAGGTTTGTTTATGGTGTAAATCAAGGATTTTCTAAAGTTCCTCATCATCGATCTTTTGTTGATAGTCTACCTTTTTTGCTACAGCTCCCATTGATTTTGTACACGTTTTCTAATTGAGGTCGTCCTTGACTCCTGTCCTCAATTACTCGATGATGCTTCACTTGTGTGTACTCGATTTCCACCATAAACATGCACCCATCTTTGTAAACACTGGCAATCGTGGACCCCTATTGTCCCTAATCCTCATTCCTTTGTTTGTACTCAGTACTTTGTTTGTACTTTTTAGCAAGAGCGCTCACTGGTTTTGTACACGAATTTCAATCATGGAATATCGGTCAATCATGGACCCTTTGTTTGTGCCCTAACTCTTTTGTCCCTAGTCCATGATTGCCTGTGTTTACATACTCACGCACACAGACGAGGCAGAAACAGTATTTTCACCGGCGGGGCTTAAAAAAGCAGCACAAACTACTTTTCACTCTTCATTCACATTGCATTTGTTTTCCAATACTGCAGATAAATCTCCTTGTTTTCATCATCTCTTTTCATATTTCCTCATTTCATTCAATTCTACAGTCGTTCCATCATATGCTCAAGAAGTAAAGAGAAAATAAGTGACTATAAAAATACCTCCATGTTCACAACCGTTGAATATCACTTTGTAACCATCTGGGTTTGAGGTGATGATGCAAACTTTGAGTCCCGTCACCAACGCCATACTGGATGGTAGATAGATCTTTTGATCTGTTTTGCCAATAAAGATAGGAGAGCCAGCTTCATCTACTAGAGGCAGGTATGGTTGCCTGTCACCTGGTTGAAATTTGAAGGAAACAGTTATGTCTCCCGGTGGGCCTTGTTCTGTCTTTATGATGACCGACGTGATTTCAACCCGTGGGCTGAAGGTAGCCCCCAAACATGATCCATTGTGTGGTGATGTAACATCGTTGGGTGGGTTGCTAGGGCGCCACCAGTCAGTCGGAGGTAATTCATTGCCTGATTCTGGGTCTTCACGTATTATCGTCACATTTGGCAATTTGTCAAGATCATCCGCACATACCTCTGGAGTAGTTGATGGTGGTGAAGTAGTTGACACTGATGTGATTCAAAATAAAAATGAAGGAAACAGAAAACATAAAGATGCATACCATTGAAAATGATGAAAAGATGATGAATGAGAGGTTTGCAGAAACACCATGTGGGAATAATTTCTCAATAAGAGAATGGTTCTGAAAAGAACCAGAGGTATTTAGAGCCATTCTCTTAGTTTAAGAAGTTATTCCCACATGGTGTTTCCGCAAACCTTTCATTTATTAGTACCTCCACAACGTAAAGCCTCTAATCTTACTTATGAAACAATAATTTAGTAATTTCTGCTTCATTCTTGCCTCTTTCAGTGGTGTCACTGGGAGTCACAGGCTTTGAGTGGGCAGGGGGAATCCCCTTCCCCATACTCCCCTTTGTTACATTTCTGGTCCTGTTTTTTGTGAGTGTGATTTTATAAGCAGTAATTTTAATACAGGAATTTATATAACATCTGTTTATAAAAAATGAATCCAGTGTCTTGAATGGAGGTATAAATCTGAAACAACCTTACTAATGAAATCAGAATCATTTTTTATACCAATTGCGGCCCAATGCACTGAAATAGTGAAATGGCAAGAGGTACCCAGCAGTAGAAAATTTGGGGAAAAACAAAGTTTGGGGGCCGCTAACCTAAAGCAGCATTGCAAGCAATCCAAACAGTTCAAGACTCAGGCCAAACATTATAGGAGCAATGCTGTAAGTAACTCAAACATTCCCTTTAACCATGCGACTATCAGAATCAAATGTCTATCCCAAAACCTCTAACCTGTTGTCGACTCCACTGTAGTGACTTCCTTTGTGGTAGATTCAGGGGTAGTAGTCACAACTGTTGTTACCTCCTTGGTTGTTGAAGGTGGAGCAGTTGTTGAAGGTGGGGCAGTTGTTGAAGGTGGGGCAGTTGTTGAGGGTGGGGCAGTTGTTGAGGGTGGGGCAGTCGTTGAAGGTGGAGCAGTCGTTGAAGGTGGGGCAGTTGTTGAAGGTGGGGCAGTTGTTGAAGGTGGGGCAGTTGTTGAGGGTGGGACAGTTGTTGAGGGAGCCTCAGTAGTTATCACACGAGTAGTTGACTTCTCTGTTGTACTTGGAGGACCTAAAAGATAAAGTCCACAAAGTTTTAACTTGAGTGGGGTTAAAACAAAATAACATTCAGCTCTTTTGCTCTTTACTGATCTTCATTTCAATGAGAAACTTATTTTCTATTCCATTGTAAAGGCCTAAAAGGAAACAAAAATTCCTGATATATTCCTTATTAGGGTCATAATTAGGGAAGATACAACATTTGCAAACATCAAAAAATGACATGATCAAATTATCACGAAATATTTTATTGGATTGTAAGGGAATGAAAGTCCAAAGCATCCTTTAAAATTGTGGCTCCAGGTGTGCTGACATTTTCAGGAAAACTTGTATTTTTCCAACGCTGGTCGGCCGACCAGCGTTGGAGAAAACTGGCTTTTTTTATCAAAAACTGCTTCCAAGTTTTCATATTTAGTTATTCCACATTTTCTTTGCAATTGATTACACCTCTGTGAAGGGGTTCAAGCCTGCTAGACTGATTCTCTGACCTTACAATTCCCCAAAGTATATAAATTGTTCTGTTTCATCTTAAGTGGGATCAGGGAACCAGACTACAAGAAAATGGTTGGTTTTCTTGGATTTTCCAGCATCTCCAAACCCAAAATGTGAAGCAAGTCAGTTTAACAATATTTGCTATGACATACTAATCTTCCAAATTCATTTATTTCTGACAATTGAAGCAAATGTTGTACATTCCCTTGAAACAAAGTGTTTAATACCGGTCAAGTACATATTTATTCCCATTCATCAATACCTTTTCGGTCAAATAATCAAAACTTTTCAGTCCAAAAGGCAAAAGTGTTCAGCAAGTTTATCTCATGTTTTTTGGGACACCCTTCAAGCATTATCATGGTATGTCCAGTCTCGCGAGTGTTGTAAAAAAACTCCTTATAAATTACGGAGATTGGCGTGCGCATCACATGCACTAGTGATGTGGCGCATAACGCAGCTGTGCCGGTGTATTGTAAATTTAGGACTACGAAATTCTGAACCACCGGTAGTATTACGCATGCCTATGTGAGCCAAATTGTGAACCTTCAACCGATAAAACGGTAAAGCACCAGATTTCATAGGAGTCCAAATTTCATGTGACTAGTGTTTAAACACCAGCCAGCCATGTCTTTATTAACCGTTGAAGACCAGCCACGTGACATACTCTTGACCAAGAGGAATGGGGTTTTTAAAAACTGTCTTAGGTATTTATGAATATAAATGACATCTTGCACCTTCAAATTCATGGAAGCACTTGGTAAAAGAGAATTATTGGTCTTGAATTACCAGTTGTACTTTCTTCAGTGGTGCTCAGTACTGTAGTCGTCTCTTCAACTGTAGTTGACTCTGGAGTAGTTGTGTACACAACAGTGGTTGTCACCTCCTCAGTAGTCGATGGTGCCTCAGTAGTTGATGGTACAGTTGAAGTAACGGTAGTACTCACAACAGTGGTTCTAGCCTCTGTTGTGGAGGCCTCTGTTATTGGGAAAATGATAAAATGTTTGTCAGTTGTAATCTTCAAAGGTATAATAAACTTGAAGATTATAAGCTATGAACTTGACCTATTTCCTTTCCTTGATTTTCTGTTTTGTACAAAATTGTGGTACAGATCATTCCAGCAAGTTTTCATAATACTTGAGGCACCTTTGAATGTCATACCGATAAAGCGCACCTTATAAATGCTGTTTATTATTGTTATTATTTTTTCCATTTCCCTATCTTATGGTTGATCAATATAATTTCAGCAATTGTATATAAAAGTGCCATAATATTAAATATAAACACCGAAGGGTCAGTATAATCAACCACTTAGCCCTCAAAGTGCATACAAATGTCAAGTCATTCAATCCTCAAACTTCCCCAAACAGCCCAAGCACTCAAAAGTTTTAATGATTTATGGAGTAAATACAATGTAATACAATTTCATACAAGTGCTAAAAAGTTAAATTCCCTACCCGTTAGAAAAATGCTCAAAGCCAAATAGCTATGTGTTGACACGCTCAATAGTTGGAAAACCAAGATTGTCAGCTGCTTGCCAAAGAGGGCATGTCAGGTTCCAAGCTTCAAGCGGAATTCAAACTCACAAACCAGACACTAACATGGAAAGAACAAAAACAGTCTGTCTAACCATTCCAACATCAGATCCAAATGCCACATGAGTTTATATCTAACCTGTTGTAGACTGCACTGTGGTGACTTCCTTTGTGGTAGATTCAGGGGTAGTGGTCACAACTGTTGTTACCTCCTTGGTCGTTGAAGGTGGGGCAGTTGTTGAAGGTGGGGCAGTTGTTGAGGGAGCCTTAGTAGTTGTCACGCGAGTAGTTGACTTCTCCGTTGTACTTGGAGGACCTATAAGATCCACAAAGTTTCAATTTGAGTTAGGTGAAAACAAAATAATCTTTTGCTCTTTGCTCTTTCCTGGTAATTTTAAAAAAAAAATCTCCTCATGCATTCCATATAAGGGTCATAATATCAATTAAATCTTGAACCTTCATGGAAACACTTGGTATAAGAGAATTATTTGTTTTGAATTACCAGTTGTGCTTTCTTCAGTGGTGCTCTGTACTGTAGTCGTCTCTTCAACAGTAGTTGACTCTGGAGTAGTTGTGTAAACAACAGTGGTTGTCACCTCCTCAGTAGTTGATGGTGCCTCAGTAGTTGATGGTACAGTAGAAGTAACGGTTGTACTCACCACAGTGGTTCTAGCCTCGGTTGTTGAGACTTCTGTTTAGAGTATTAAAGTCATAATAATGTTACATGCTGGTTTCTATTTTCAATGCAGAAAATTCAAGTGAACACAATCTAGATCACGTTGCATATAATCTGGTAACACACCGCTACTGTTGGTAATAACATTGATTAACTTTCTCTTCCATAGTTTGATACAAGTTGTTATAGATGATGCCCAATTTGACACTCTGTTGTCCCCCTTTTGTTGAATTCTTTCTATCTCACAGTCATTTGGCAATGGACCGATCCAGTAAGCCCCTCCCACTGCGCACGTGGGCAAATTAACACGTGCTCCTCTCCAATGCCACACTGCATTTTCCGGCTGCGCGCGTCATACGCGCGTGCTCGCATGTCGGACTTTTGTGCACGCATGTCGGACATAAATCACGACTGTGATTGGTCAGAATACTTTGGGGCAGTGCTTACTGGATCGGTCCATTGTTGACTGCTGTGATGTGGGATATGACGTTTTGAACACCCGGGGATACGCCCCTCGGGTGTTCAAAAGGTCATTATGCCACATCACAGTAGACAATTATTTTTTTGTTATACCTCTGTCTTGGATTCTTTGGAGTGTGATATGAAAAAAAAAGGAGTATACACAACAATCATGACAATCGAACGTCGACTCACATGCATGTCGCGTGCTAAAAACAGCTGATCATCTGCTACTTCGCTGCTCGCACTCATGTGAGAAAACATGGTGAAAATAGCGTGGGTACTAACAATACAAGCTTTTAACACTGTACTTCCTCTATGAGTGTGCCATGACTTTTTACACAAACTGAACGTGTGATCGTTCTAGGCCAATAAAAATACAGTATTTAAGACAGAGGTATAAAAAAATTAGTATTAAATCCCTCATACAGTCACATCTAGTTCTGGACAGTCGTGAATTATAATTATATAACCAACATACAGATCCTTGTCATTTGATTGGTGGAACTCGCATAACGGGACATTCGTCATTTTTTCCATTCACACTGTGGCTCAAAAAGTACTATCCGCCCATGGGGAATGGGAAATACTATTCAACAGTTGGGATCATGATGCAGTATTTGTGTGCAAATGCATGCTGGTGTGCACATTCAGCATTGCGCGTAGTGTGTATTGTTCCAAAGAGCCAGCACTACTGCCTTGGGTTCAAACATTTTCGTGAAGGGGTGGTTTGGAAGAGAGAAATACATTTGTCACCAATTTGGTATTGAAATAAAAGTTCAAACTTATCAAATGACAAGGATTTATATGTCAGTTATATAAAACAAATATTGAGTGGCTTTAAATTGTGAAATGGGAGGAATATTATTGCTCGGTAAAATCTGGACTTTTCCAGTTCACTCGGTTCGCCTCGTGAAATGGAAAAGTCCAGATTTTACTTTGCGATAATATTCCTCCCATTCCACGCTGATCCACTCAATATTTGTATACTGTTTGATTATCAACATTTTCCCATGCATCAAATATTGTTTAGCAAGTTCTGTTGGAGCACTTGTAGACATTTTTTTTGCTTTTTTGAGGATTAGCAACAAAACCGTTAGCTCACCTGTTGTTGAGGGTGCCTCTGTTGTTGAGGGTGCACTGGTTGTAGTCACTGTGTTGTTTAAGAAAGCACAATCAAGTATCAATATATTTTTGATCCTACTCTTTTTATAAAGAGAACTAAACAACTACTACAAAAATCAACAACATTTCATGGCCTAATGTTTTGATCCTAGTAGAAAGTTTGACAAAGTTCCTCTAACGATCAGCCATTGACAAAGGTCCTGCTGATTAGGCCATTCACCATTCTTTGATTTGTATGTTTCAGGTCAATCCAGTCAAGTAAGTAGTTTGCAGCAGTTTGATTCATTTTTCAACGAATAACAAGAAAAGTTGTGTTAAATAAGCTAAAATGCCCCACAACTGTGACTGTTCCCATGACATGACACCACTCTTTTAACATCAACTTACCTGGGTCACATGGAACGTTCATTTACATCATTATCATATCTTTAGGTTACACTGTATTAACGCCTATGACCCCGGAATACAAATTATTTGTTTGCTTTTCCACTTGGAAGTCATTGTATGTGATTTAAAAGAGTGAGTGAATGTGAATAGATCCTGTACCAGGAACATGAATAAAAGGAGACCAGACCAGTGGGTACACATAGTGCAAAATGTATGTAGGCAAAATGTGAGGTGCATGTATACTTAAACAATCACAAGGAATAGTTTCCTATTCCTGTATTCAATGAGTACATATGATATCACTATTCTTTCAATTTCAACCATGATGATCTGACAAGTCAAACATGAGTTATCAAATTTGGAGTACATATAAGTGTACAGCTGGCTGGTGAGTAACTGACGGTACACATTTTACACAATGCAAAATACAAGTTATTATGTGCACATGTAATAGTGCATGTACACATGTACACGTTGAAGTTTGCATTCAGTACACTTTAAAGGTTGAAAAGTGCCACATCCATGGAAAAAGAAATGTCTGTATAAGTTACCTGTCATGTTGCCTGACAAGTCACTTATTATGATGACATTATTTCTTGTATTTTAATTAGAGCCTAGACATTTGGCATATGAGTCCAAAAGTGATTTGGAAACCCCCAAAACATTCCACCTATTTGCATCTACCGTACCAAGTCCCAAGTTGATATGCACAGTTTTTCTTGAGTTACATGTAAATGCTGAGAAAACTATTTCTGATGTTTTAATAAACACATTGACCTTGGCCTAAGGGGTCCAAAAAGTGACAGGTTTCTGGAGGATCCCCATGATAAATTGATTTGACCAGTTTTTTGTGTGTTATGGCGGGAAAAACTTTTCTATTGCTTTAATGAACCAGGGTCCAAACACATTAAGCTGAAGGTGGCAATAGCAAGCTACCTATCAAGGTTCATGACATACATGTCCATCAAGTCCAACTCGTGCTATCATTTTGAAAGCAAAAGTGTGATGCACGCACACATGCTGGCACATAGGTTTGTTCATGGTGTAAATCAAGGATTTTCTAAAGTTCCTCATCATCGATCTTTTGTTGATAGTCTACCTTTTTTGCTACAGCTCCCATTGGTTTTGTACACGTTTTCTAATCGAGGTCGTCCTTGACTCCTGTCCTCAATTACTCGATGATGCTTCACTTGTGTGTACTCGATTTCCACCATAAACATGCACCCATCTTTGTAAACACTGGCAATCGTGGACCCCTATTGTCCCTAATCCTCATTCCTTTGTTTGTACTCAGTACTTTGTTTGTACTTTTTAGCAAGAGCGCTCACTGGTTTTGTACACGAATTTCAATCATGGAATATCGGTCAATCATGGACCCTTTTGTTTGTGCCCTAACTCTTTTGTCCCTAGTCCATGATTGCTTGTGTTTACATACTCACGCACACAGACGAGGCAGAAACAGTATTTTCACCGGCGGGGCTTAAAAAAGCAGCACAAACTACTTTTCACTCTTCATTCACATTGCTTTTGTTTTCCAATACTGCAGATAAATCTCCTTGTTTTCATCATCTCTTTTCATATTTCCTCATTTCATTCAATTCTACAGTCGTTCCATCATATGCTCAAGAAGTAAAGAGAAAATAAGTGACTATAAAAATACCTCCATGTTCACAACCGTTGAATATCACTTTGTAACCATCTGGGTTTGAGGTGATGATGCAAACTTTGAGTCCCGTCACCAACGCCATACTGGATGGTAGATAGATCTTTTGATCTGTTTTGCCAATAAAGATAGGAGAGCCAGCTTCATCTACTAGAGGCAGGTATGGTTGCCTGTCACCTGGTTGAAATTTGAAGGAAACAGTTATGTCTCCCGGTGGGCCTTGTTCTGTCTTTATGATGACCGACGTGATTTCAACCCGTGGGCTGAAGGTAGCCCCCAAACATGATCCATTGTGTGGTGATGTAACATCGTTGGGTGGGTTGCTAGGGCGCCACCAATCAGTCGGAGGTAATTCATTGCCTGATTCTGGGTCTTCGCGTATTATCGTCACATTTGGCAATTTGTCAAGATCATCCGCACATACCTCTGGAGTAGTTGATGGTGGTGAAGTAGTTGACACTGATGTGATTCAAAATAAAAATGAAGGAAATAAAAAACATAAAGATGCATACCATTGAAATGATGAAAAGATGATGAATGAGAAGTTTGCAGAAACACCATGTGGGAATAATTTCTCAATAAGAGAATGGTTCTGAAAAGAACCAGAGGTATTTAGAGCCATTCTCTTAGTTTAAGAAGTTATTCCCACATGGTGTGTCCGCAAACCTTTCATTTATTAGTACCTCCACAACGTAAAGCCTCAAATCTTACTAATGAAACAATAATTTAGTAATTTCTGCTTCATTCTTGCCCCTTTCAGCGGTGTCACTGGGAGTCACAGGCTTTGAGTGGGCAGGGGGAATCCCCTTCCCCATACTCCCCTTTGTCACACTACTGGTCCTGTTAATTTTTTGTGAGTGTGATTTTATAAGCAGTAAGTTTAATACAGGAATTTATATAACTTTTTGTAAAGTGCTTTGAAACACTGCGTATTAAGTGCTATATAAATGTTAATTATTATTATTATTATTATATAACATCTGTTTATAAAAAATGAATCCAGTGTCTTGACTGGAGGTATAAATCTGTAAAGATCTTACTAATGAAATCAGAATCATTTTTTAGCCAATTGCGGCCCAACGGCAGGTCAGCAATGGGTCAGCAATGGGCACACCAGGTCAGCAATGGGCATGCCGGGCTCAGAAACTGCACTTGAAGAGCTGATGTGCCGCGTGCTTGGTGACCTGCTGAAGGAGGGCATAGTAGCCAAGATCGCAGATGACCTGTATTCTGGTGGCAACACTCACAACGAACTGTTACATAATTGGAGGTGGGTCTTGCATACCCTGTACAAATGCGATCTTCGCCTCACTGCCAAAAAGACTGTCATCTGCCCAAAGACAACCACCATGCTCGGATGGGTTTGGTCACTTGGAACACTCCGTGCGAGTCCTCATTGCATCGCGACCCTTGCATCATGCTCCATCCCTGAGAAAGTCGCAGGCCTGCGTTCTTTCATCGGGGCATACAAAGTCCTTGCCCGCGTCCTTCCCAACTGTGCCTCCATCATATCACCCCTAGATAGCGTCGTGGCTGAGCGTCAATCAGTTGATCGCCTTCAATGAACTGACGACGCTCGCACGGCCTTCTCCAATGCTCAGGCTTCCCTCTCTAAAGCTTGTATGGTCACTTTACCTCGCCCAGATGACCAGTTATGGATTGTCACAGACGGAGCTGTCAAGAATCATGGCATTGGTGCAACTGTGTATGTCACATGCCATGGTACGCTGCTCCTTGCCAGCTTCTTCAGTGCCAAACTCCATGGGCGTCAGCCAACTTGGCTCCCATGTGAAGTAGAGACCCTGTCAATTGCTGCTGCCACTAAGCACTTCAGCCCATACATCATTCAGTCTACACACAAAACATCCATTCTCACTGACAGCAAACCCTATGTTCAAGCTTTTGAGAAGTTATGCCGTGAGGAATTTTCCGCCAGCCCCCGCGTATCTACATTTCTGTTGACTGTTATCCGCTTTCAAGCCACAGTCCGCCATCTCACAGGGTTGGCAAATATCCCATCAGACTTTGCCAGTCAAAATGCCCCAGACTGCACTGACTTTGCTTGCCAAATCTGCTCATTTGTGAAGCATACAGAGGATTCTGTCGTCCAGCGCATCTCTACACAGGACATTGTCACTGGCAAGGTGAAGCTGCCATTCACCAGTCGATCAGCCTGGGCAAACTTGCAGGCAGAGTGCCCAGATTTGCGCCATACGCATGCTCATCTTCTGCAAGGCGCTTGTTCCTCCAAAAAGGTCACCAATGCCAAAGATGTCAAACGGTACCTCAACGTCGCCACCATCACCAAAGATGGGCTCCTGATCATTCGCAGAGATGAACCACTTGCTCCCAAACGGTAGTGCATTGTAGTCCCACGACAGGTTTTGGATGGCCTCCTCACTGCCCTTCACATCCAGCTCAACCATCCATCATGCCAACAACTCAAGTGCGTTGTCCATCGCTACTTCTACGCCCTCGACATGGACAAGTCCATTGAGAATATCTCATCTAGTTGCCACCAATGCGCTGCACTCCGCAATGCCCCCACCACCGTAAAGCCTCAAACCACTGAAGACCCACCAGATGCTGTCGGCATATCCTTCGCGGCCGACGTTATCAAACGAAGTCGTCAGCTCATTCTTGTTGTACGTGAGAGTGTCACATCTTTCACAGCCACATGCTTCACAGAGGATGAACGACACACCTATTTGGGACGCACTTATTACCCTTTGCACTGAGTTACGCCCACTTGACGGACCCCCAGCTGTGATCCGTACTGACCCAGCACCAGGCTTTAAGTCTCTTGTGACTGATGAGCTCCTGCAGCAGCACAGGTTGACCATAGAAATTGGCCGCATCAAGAATATCAGCAAGAATCCAGTTGCCGAAAAAGATGTACGAGAACTGGAAGAGGAGCTTCTGCGCCAAGATCCCATGGGTGGCGCCGTAACACCGCCGACTCTTGCATTAGCCACATCTTGCTTGAATTCCCGCATACGCTCCCGTGGTCTTTCCGCTCGCGAGATGTGGTATCAACGGGATCAGTTCACAAGCAACCAGATTCCCATCACCGACCGGCAGTTGATTTTTGACCAGCACGACCTTCACAACGCTAATCACCCCCACAGTGAAAAGTCGAAGACACCATCAGGCAAAATTGCATCTGACACTGTTGTTGCCATCAGGGACTTAGTATACCTCCATGGTGACCGCAACAAAACAAAAGGACGAAACCGCTACCTTGTGACAGCCATTGATGGGTTGTGGTGCAGTGTCCGTAAATTCATCGGGAACCAACTCCGGAGCACATCCTACCGTGTTAAACGCTCAGAGTGTTTCAAGGTACCTTCCCACTCTGATATCAACCCACCATTTCCATCAGAACGGCCCGATCTTCATGACAGTGCTGATGAAGCAGACGCTGACATAGCACCAGCTCCACTCTCGACACCTGCTAAGCCAGCTACTGGATCCCCCTCTCTGGAAGTTGAGCATGCACCACAAGTAGCAGAGGTACCTATTCACGTGTCGCCTACTCCACAGCCCACGATTCCTACAAACAGCCTTGGAGACATGAGCATCTCTTGCCCACGCTCACCCGCAAGACGCTCATCCCGCCTACGCAAACCACCCGCATACCTTGATGACTACTTGACTGATTATTGACACTGATCTGTGACTGTGTGAACACTTGTAGTGTTTAGGACAAGATATATAATGCCTTCCTATGGAGTGGCACATTTGGGGCAGAATAATCCCCAGGGCTGGAGGGCAGTCTACCCCTATGAAGGCCCATTTATCTTTCTTTATGTAGCATTAGATTCCATTTTGATCTAACATGTTTAGCTTTTGTTTCTTGTTTCAATTGAGCGCAGCTACAAAAAGCCATATCCTTCGTTCTCCTTCTAATATATTTTCTGTAAGAGGGACTCATTGTTTAAGTTCTTTGCCTTGTTTCAAAAGAGAAACAAATAGGTCACCCCAGTAGTAATGATTACGCCCTCTTGCGTTCGTGACCTTCGACCTGTTTGTCTTCGTTCTATCGTTTATCGCTCAATGTGCGTTCTCGCCTTTGTTCATTAAAGTCTCCCATTATACCCGATAAGTCGATTACCGCTGCTGTTATAGTGTGTGTTGGATTGAACTCTTGTCCCTACTGGCGCAATACACGGAAATAGTCCAATGGCAAGAGATACCCAGCAGTAGAAAATTGGGGGGAAAACAAAGTTTGGGGCCGCTAACCTAAAGCAGCATTGCAAGCAATCCAAACAATTCAAGACTCAGGCCAAACATTATTGGAGCAATGCTGAAAGTGACTCAAACATTCCCTTTAACCATACGACTATCAGAATCGAATGTCTATCCCAAAACCTCTAACCTGTTGTAGACTCCACTGTGGTGACTTCCTTTGTGGTAGATTCAGGGGTAGTGGTTACGACTGTTGTTACCTCCTTGGTTGTTGAAGGTGGGGCAGTTGTTGAAGGTGGGGCAGTTGTTGAGGGAGCCTCTGTAGTTGTCACACGAGTAGTTGACTTCTCCGTTGTACTTGGAGGACCTACATGTACAAGATACAGTCCACAAAGTTTCAATTGGAGTTGGGTGAAAACAAAATAATCTTTTGCTCTTTTTGCTGTTTACTGATCTTTATTTCAATGAGTAACTTATTTTCTATTCTATTCCATTGTCCAGGCCTAAAAGTAGACTTTAATAAACACATGCATTAGAGTGTGAGGCATGGGTGTACCGGTATGTGCTGCGTAAGTGTGCCTGCCACATCCATCCACGGTCAGTTGTTTCACTGCCTACTGCAAACATCACCAGTGGTCAAGCTCTGTTCATTTACACAAGCCTTTGTACTCTTTCACCAGACCTTTTGCTCTCCAAGCACATCCACAATTATAATAATAATAATAATAATAGTGGATATTTATAAAGCGCACGTATCCACCAGGACTGGTGCTCAAGGCGCTACATCATTATTACCCCTGCTCATTTGGCACATGAAACAATCCAAATACCATCTCAGCTCCCTGGGGAGTATACAGCTCGATGCAGCCTGTTAGGCGCAAGGAAGCTTATTCATTCACAATAACCATCTCTGCCCTCACAGGTACCCATTTACTCCTGGGTGGAGAGAAGCAATGAGTGACAAAGTGCCTTGCCCAAGGGCACACGCACCATGACCCCGCCAGGACTTGAACCCACAACCTGCAGCTTTATCCGCAGACCACGAATCAGTGCCCTTAACCACGAGGCCACAGCACTCCAATTTGTTCATCCCGATTTTTGTTTGCTTGAGAAGTGTTTTTACACAACATCCATTCATGTGCCCGAAGAGCTCCAAATTTGTCTCAAACAATGGATTTCCTAAACTCAACGACGTTTTTCCGAATGGTCCCTAGCAAACTTCAGTCTGGCAGTGATGTGCCATTGTTTAAGCAATGGTTTAACCAATGGTGTTTTCCTTGGTTGATGACCTCGGAGCCTTTTTATATTTATAAAACACTGAAAGTAAAAGATATTTATTCTTTCCAGCTTGGGACTTTCATGCACCAACCAAATCATAACAAATTACCAAAATCCATCCAGGGTTACAAGGCTTACTGTCATGGCTATGTGAATTTTGTGTTTATACAATGTATGTAATTGTCAATTAATATTAATGGGGTCCCTACTCGGCAAGAAGTTGCTTCTTGGGGACCCCCATCCACTTTTAAATGTTCTGGAACATTCTTCTGGAACATTCTTCTGGAACATTCATGAACATGGAAATCTCTGAAAACCCATCATAAAGCAAGAAAACGCCATTCCAGTCCCATTGCTCTCATTTTTTAGAAGTTTCCACAAAGGGGCTAATAATTTTGACTACTGCAAATTAATTTACTTATTCTGCAGCTTTCTGAAAAATTCAAAGAAATTCTAAAATTTCCTCAATGAAGGCCCTTCACTGAGGAATGTTTCACTTAGAAAGCTGTCATGATTACAGTTTTAGTTTGGATTGGTGGAAATGAATGTAAATTTACTATTTCTCACATGGGGCTAATAGTTCTGACCTTTACTGTATATTTTTTTAAAAGTATTCAATTCAATTGTGTAACAGATTTGTTTGAATAATGAAAGGTTTGCGGAAACACCATGTGCGAATAATTTCTCAACTAAGAGAATGGTTCTGAAAAGAACCAGAGGTGTAAACTCGACGTTCCGGTCAGTATGCTCTGACCGTCTTCAGGAGAGTGCCTAAACTCTAAGAAAGTGAATACTTAAGTGTCAAAAGGGGAATCAATGGAGTGTGAAGTTGCATCCTGTGCAAGTTGCATCCTGTGAAGTTGCATCCTGTGAGGATGCCAAGTAGACAGGATCCCTGAGCAAGCTTAGTGCCCACTGAAGTGGAACAGTAGGGTTGCAGTGTCAGTAGAGGGAGGACCTAGGGTATAGGAGACCCATCAGTCTAAGATATTAGCTGAGGACCTAGGGTATAGGAGACCCATCAGTCTGGAGAAGTGGGAGCCAGATGTCGTTGAGGTGAAACCCGATGTCTTGCGGAACTGTGTTGTGCTTGCGGATCTCGATGGCTTCCCGTATGCGTCTTGGATGCCAGAACTGGATCGGTGCGATGAGTTCGGCCGCATCCCAATCAACTTTGTGGTCGTTGATGTGGGAATGTTTGACAATGGCCGATTTGTCAAAATCCCCTCGCCGTCCATGTGCTCTGTGTTCTTTGAGCCTAGTGGGAAGGTTCCGACCAGTTTCGCCGATGTAGACTTTGCCGCATTCGCATGGAATGCGGTAGACTCCCGGCTTGGATGAGGAGTCCTGCTTGTCCTTGTGCGTATGGAGGCTGCCTTGGAGCTTGTTGCCAGATGAGTGGTACACCTTGACGCCGGCTTGTCGGAGGATGCGTTGCAGATGATGAGAAGCTGGACCTATGTAAGGAAGAGTGACTGAGGGAGATACAGTGGGAGGACCTTGGGTATAGGGGACCCGTTGGTCAGGTTTGCTGATCTTGATGCGGTGGGGTTTGTAGCCGTTCCGTTGTAGTGACGTCTGGATGTGCTTGAGTTCACGCTTGAGGTTGTCTTGGTCGCAGACCTCGAAGGCTCTCTGTACTAGGGTGCGGTTGACCGATGACTTGATGCTGGGGTGATGGAACGACCGCTGGTGTAGATAGCGGTCGGTGTGGGTGGGTTTCCTGTAGACGCTGTGTCCCAGGGTGCCATCCGGATTCCTGGAGATCTTGACGTCCAGGAAAGGAATGGTGCCGTGCTGTTCTTGTTCCATGGTGAAGCTGATGCTGGTGTGTTGCTTGTTGAGGTACTGGAGGAAGTCTTGGAGTGTGCCCGGGCCATGGGGCCACACTACGAAGGTGTCATCAACGTAGCGTAGCCACAGGCTCGGTCGAAGATCCGCTGTGAGTAGGGAGGAAGACTCGAACTCCTCCATGAAGATGTCGGCTAGGACCGGGGATAAAGGAGATCCCATGGAGGTCCCAGCCGTTTGCTCGTAGAACTTGCCTTGCCACTGAAAACAACTGGAAGAAATACATGTTAGTAACAGATCATGAATTTGGTCGGGGGACAGGTCTGTGCGTTCAGCGAGAGTGGTATCATGTTCAAGTCTTTCCTTAGCTAGTTTGCAGGCCTCGCCTGTGGGAACATTGGTGAAGAGTGAGACGACGTCAAAACTGACAAGCAAGTCAGTGGGTTGGACCGTGAGGTTTCTGGTGATGCTGACAAACTGGGGAGAGTTGGACACATGGTGTGGTGTCTGACCCACCAAGGGTCTGAGGATTTTGGCTAAGTGTTGGGCTGTGTGGTAAGTGGGGGAACCTCGAGAGGCAACTATGGGGCGCAGAGGGATCTCAGGTTTGTGAATCTTTGGTTGACCAAAGAACCTGGGACAGATCGAACTGGAGGGTCTGAGTCGTCTGTAGAGGGGGGTGGATAATGCATCTGCTCGATGCAAGAGGAGAAGTTGGCTGGCAACTCGCTTCTCGATGGCGGGGATGGGGTTCTTGGGGAGTGGGCGGTATGAACCAGAAGAAAGTATGTCTTTTACCTTGTTGCTGTAGTCCTCCCTGTCCATGACGACGGTGGCGTTGCCCTTGTCCGCTGTGAGGATGTGGATGGAGTTGTCTCGGCGAAGGTCACTGACAGCGAACCGCTCTGTTTTGGTCAGATTAGGTTTAGCTGGGCGAGCCTTGCGGAGGACTTCATTCATCTTGATGCGGACGTCGTTGGCTGCTGTCTTGGTGAGGTGTCTGAGGGCTGGCTCCGTCGACTGGATGATGCTCTCGATGGGTACGGACTTTGGAGGAACAGCAAAGTTCATGCCAAGGGACAGAACTTTCGTTTCAGTACTGTTCAGCTGTCGGCTGCTGAGGTTGACTACCGTATGCTTGGTGAAGGTGTCTTGACTACGGAGATGAGGTGGATGGCGCCAGGATATAGGAGATCCAGATGGCAGGTTACGCGGGCGAGAAGACTGACGCCAGGATATAGGAGATCCAGTTGGCGGGCTATGTAGGCGAGATGGATGACGCCAGGATATAGGAGATCCAGATTTGTTTGATTAATATCTATAATTATTTTGTAAAAGATTTGCCATAGTGTGATTGTTGCTATTGCTCATCCGAATAGTGCATGCATATGTGACTGGTATAATGGATTCTGCACATTTTTGTTGTATAGTGTAAAAGAATGGAATATACATTGTAAATGCATAACTATTTTGGAGTTGCGTTTGTTAATAATAAACATGGCGAAGAGGTAGTGTACTGACAGGTGTGCACAGCTAATGGTTGCTAATGTTTTGTTTCAGTACCTCAGAAATTGAGTAGTAAAGTGAGACTTTAAAGTAAAGTTGCCATTAAACACTGTTTGCCTTTGTAGATGGCCAGTAACCATTGGTTGGTTTGCATTCTTGACATATTAATATTTGTGCATTTTGCCCTGGTGGCTTGAAAGAGACTGTGCAAGTTAGATTTTGTGGCAGAGAGTTGAATTTGTTTAATAAACTAGCATAAATTTCTTGGTGTATTTGAAATCGAATTTCATTGGTGTGTTTAAGTTGACAATTTTGTTAGTGTATTGGTTATTTATTTGCATTTGTATTTCATTGGTGTACTGATGTGTTAACCAACACATCAGTACACCAATGAAATACAAATGCAAATAAATAACCAATACACTAACTGCTTCATTTTAACATGTTTAACACATGAAAAATGATTGCAATAATGCTGTTAATATTGATGAGAACTGCAAATGAAATGTTAAAGTAAATCAGTGACCTTGGGACTGCAAAAATATAATATTTTTAAAGAAACCACATAGGAAGACCAGATGGGTCCTACGGTAAAAAGGGGCCAGGAATAGCGTAGGTTTGGATTTAATTGAAAGGCAAGCATATAAGTATTGAGTTCAAAATGCTTGTCAATAGGCCAGTGAACAATAGCCACACCAGGCCATGACAGCAGGTGTGTCAGCAGAAGAAAGAGCAATGGCTGTATGCGGTTCACAGATAGTCAATGTCAACGGTGTGACTGCTGCCAGCCAGCCTGTGGGTCAATGGATCCTGGGGAACACTGAACGACCAGAGAATCTAGAGGATACATATCAGTGGCAGTTGGAGGTAGTTTAGCCTTGGTGAGGCATGAGAACAGAACAGTAGAGGAACACTTGCGTTTCTTCAATCTATCTGTGACTAGGTTGAAGTGAGGGAGCCCTATAGTGCAGTCATAAACTTCGACATTGAGCGACCACTTGTAATATATCTAGAGTTGTAATAAAGTCCAGGCAGTTGAGGCCAATGGCCCCAAAAGGGTAGTCGGCTTGAGCCACTGAAGGCTCAGTACATGGTCACAGCCGGTCCAAAGTCAAGCTTTTCGCTAGTACAGGATGAGTAAAATATTATATCTCTTTGGATTAGTTCTTGTCTCCTACAAAAACAAGAAAAGTTACCAGGGTTATTTTTCAGCCAACTATATTGGTCTGGGTATTGACCACGTTCAGTAAAATTTTCATTGATATTCAGACATGCATGAATAGGATACAGACTTTTCTTTTTGACTCCCCGAAAACACTGCCAACACAATGTTCAGAATAGGCCTGTAGCTATCAACACAATAGCATCAATTGGCCTCTAGACAATAAAGGAAATAAAAGTATCACCAGAACAAGGTGTGAATGAAATGGAATTACATTTATTGAATTGGAATCTGAATTACAGACAAGATTCACAATTTCACTGTCATGCTGCTTGACCTTTCACCTGTCTGCCATTCAGTGTTGTCTCTCAGGCGTCGGCCTAATGATCAAGAAACCATCACCAGCAGACTACACATATTGCCAGTCAGCCACTTGGACCGTCTCATAACCCTAACCCCAACCCCAACCCCGCCAACCTGTCAGCTCAAGTCCAGCATAAAATGTTCCTCCCTTTTTTTGGGGGGGGGGGGGGATTTTAAATTTGGTTTTAAATGCTTTCTCTCCGGTTCAAAATGTAAAAAAAGCATTTTTAAAATTTGCCAAAAGAGGCAACATAAGTGATAATTCAAACAAAGATAAAAAGATTACATTTTATTTACAAAATAAAAACAAAGGGGATTCTTGGAAATTTACCAGTGGTAGAAGCTGCCGTGGTAGACAAAGCTGTAGTCATCTGTTCAGATGTTGTAGATTCAGGAGTTGTTGTTAAGACAGTGGTAGTTGTGACTTTTTCAGTAGTTGGCATCCGAGTTGTTGCTGGAACCGTCGTAATTTCCTGAGTAGTGGTAACTGTTGTTATTTCTGCTGTTGTAGAGGCTTTTGTGGTTGATGCAGCTGAGGGTATAGGACAAATTAACCTGCCTTTTTAACCTAATTCCTGCTGAATTTTACTGACTAAAAGAGATCCACAATTGAGGTATGTTTAAACACAACCAATCTATCTACGGTATTGCACAAAAAGACAACTGGTCTGAGGAGTCATTAATCTGATGAATCATTTTCAAAGATATTAGATGAACTTTAATTACCAACACATTATCTTTGATAAAGTTAACAGAATTAAAAAGGAACATGATTTAAGTTTAATCGCGGCTTGAATGCATTCTTTTGCAATTCTGTAGTTGGTTTTCAATAAATTGTTCCCTCTCTGTTTGAATACTTGTACACTATAAGCGATAGGATGCCGTAAGTATTTTTTGAATAAAACCATACGTCTCTCCTACCGACGTATGTTCCTGGGGACATTTAGTTTCTGCGCATGTGTGAAATGAGTGCATAATTTACAATATTCATAAGCCAGGGGAGATATGACGCAGAAATTATGACCTTTAATCATCCTATTGGTTCTCCTGTTGAGCTTTTCATGAATAATTCATATTAACCCAAGGTCACAATAAACTCTTGCACTACTAGTTTTTTCTGTTGATATTTTGTAATTGTTTTGAAAATCAGGATTTTCTTTGCATTTTTTGGGCGCATTGCAAATCAGCATGAAGTAAATGTTAATTACTAGCGTTCTATAAATTAATATAAAACAAAAGCTGAAGTTTTCCTGGAATGTAAAGCAACCCCAAAATGATGGAACTTGGCATGAAGTGCCATGATGTACATTGAGTTTACTACTTGCATTTTTTTAAAGTGAATATAGGAGGGTAAAAGTTGGTTCAAAATCTCATTTTTTATGGACTCAAAAGTAAGATCAAATGTTTTACAAACATCATGATGAGAATAATATGTAGTAAAGGGAAATATGTCATTATTCCTCCAATAATTTCTGAACTTGGATTATACTGAGGTTTATTCAAGCATAAGCGGTCACGCAAAATCACCGTTCATATGCCCCACATGAAGGGATTGTCATGCATTGCAAGATACAGCCCAATTTGCAGAAATGATGCCAATTTCCGGACACGACCGCTTACGCTTGAAACTATGACTGGATTTAATGTTGAAACATAGGAAGAAAAAAAAATCGCAGTAAAACACAAATGCCAAATTGTGACAATAGACACCTTTCTCACACCCTTGCATAGTCTCAAAATTTTGACAAAACTTCAGCAACTTGTTAATTTCCATATAAAATATGTGATTTTCAATTGCAAAACTACAGTCATGACGGAAATCCTAGCACCAAGAATCTCATGATTTTCAGAACCTATAAATTTGCAAAAAATCTTGCTCAGGTGTAGAGAGGAGTTTACACATCAGTGAAAAGGACTGTACTTCATTCAAGTTTATAAATTTAAATTTGGCAGGTATATGGAGGGTAAAGTGTCATTGTTTACGTCATGATTTTCGCGTTGCCATGCGCCCGCGTTACATATGTAAGGCAATATTATCCCCCACGTGGCATGAATCTAAATGTCCACATGGGCAATGGGATTGGAACATACGTGTACTACTTACTGACTACTTTCCCACTTACAAAAAATAAGGCAATACCCTGGCTAAATGCAGCATTCTGGTCGGTTCAATAATGGCTAAGTTTCTAGAGCAAGTTTAATACAAAAGATTTCTAATAAAACATTGAAATAATGATCATCAGATTTGTTTGCAAAATCAGAAGCATATGTTCGTACTTTTCAGGTCATTTGACCACTGACAAATGTAAACATTTGACCTTACTGACAAATGTAAACATTTGACCTTACGTGGTTTATGTCAATGCTTACCTGTTGTTGTCACTGTTGTTGTAACTTCTGGAGTAGTTGACACAATAGTGGTGGTTTCCTTGACTGTAGTTGAAGGCTGTGCGGTGGTGCTTTCGGTGGTGGTCAAACGAGTAGTTTCTGCCTTCGTTGTAGATGGAGCAGCTTGGTCAAATATGCAAAAAAATAGTACCAGTTATTTTTTAAATGCATTTGTAAAACCATCTCTTTAACAATGAAACAAGAAAAACTGACTTACTATAGAATTTTGCTGTTATTATTACATTCCAGTGCTAGAAAGTAGAATCATCACTTGCATATCTGAGCATGTGCACAAGCTCAAATTCCATGGCTACCAGTGAAACATGATGGACCCTGGGTCGCTTCACATACCTGTTGTGGAAGCCTCAGTAGTTGATAGAACCCTTGTAGTCATCTCAGTGGTCGTCACCTCCGGAGTGGTTGTTGTCACAGCCGTGGTAATGGACTCTGTGGTGGTGGTTGGTGTTTCTGTTGTAGTACCTTCATTTGTTGTAAGCTGAGTTGTAACAACTGTCGTTGTTGCTTTCTCTGTGCAGTGAATATTGAAAATCAATTCAAAGCATTTTCAAACCTAGCCGGAGATTGTTGTTAATATTCAGGGAAAGGGAGAAATATTGCCTCTTTTGATTTACATGTAGGTCGGTTATTTCAACATGCTTTGGATTATCGCCACTTGTATGTAACCGTCTATCCATGGGTGTTTTATGTTATGGGAATTGAACGTAAACATCTCTTCACTATATTTTTAAGAGAGTCATTTGGGTACCTGTAGTTGTTTCCACTGTTGTTATTTGTGTAGTAGTAGCCTCCGGAGTAGTGGTCCGAATTGTTGTGGTGTATTCTTCAGTCGTACTTGGCTTGGCAGTGGTACTCACTGTCATTTTGTGACATAATAAAGAGATAATTTAATATTCATACCACAAGTTGCTTGCAGATTATTTTTTACATTCTCTTCAATTAAAGAGTGCAAAGTTTTGTACCATAAAAACATATAACAAAAACATATAACAAAAACATATAAAACTTGTATGAAATCACATACATGTACAACCTGGATAAAGCATTGTGTTTTTTCCTTCAATTTTGACAGTAATGCAATATATCGCAAAAACAAACCTGTTGTTGTAACTTCCGTTGTTGATGGAGCTGTAGTGGTTACAATGGGGGTTGTAGTGGGGAGCTCTGGACATGAGAAAAAGATATAGACTTACACAGCCAATCATGAAATGAAATCAGCACGACAAATGCTCCAATGGATTCTCTGTCTTCCGAAAATTAAAGGATCTTTCACTGAATATCCAAGCACTAATAGGGAACTTTAATAGAAATGTTGGCAAAATATATTTAAGGACTTTTTGTATGTATGTTAATCATAATATGCCAGAAAACTTTTCGAATTTAATACATAAGGTCTGTGAGAAGGGCAAAGTGATTGCAAAGCAAGCTTTAGAAGTAAGATTTGAGGCTTTGCATGGTGAAGATACTAAATAATGAAAGGTTTGCGGAAACACCATGTGCGAATAATTTCTCAACTAAGAGAATGGTTCTGAAACAAGAACCAGAGGTATAAACTCGACGTTCCGGTCAGTATGCTCTGACCGTCTTCAGGAGAGTGCCTAAACTCTAAGAAAGTGAATACTTAAGTAGCAAAAGGTGAAATCAATGGAGTGTGAAGTTGGCAAGGCAAGTTCTACGAGCAAATGGCTGGGACCTCCATGGGATCTCCTTTATCCCCGGTCCTAGCCGACATCTTCATGGAGGAGTTCGAGTCTTCCTCCCTACTCACAGCGGATCTTCGGCCGAGCCTGTGGCTACGCTACGTTGATGACACCTTCGTAGTGTGGCCCCATGGCCCGGACACACTCCAAGACTTCCTCCAGTACCTCAACAAGCAACACACCAGCATCAGCTTCACCATGGAACAAGAGCAGCATGGCACCATTCCTTTCCTGGACGTCAAGATCTCCAGGAATCCGGATGGCACCCTGGGACACAGCGTCTACAGGAAACCCACCCACACCGACCGCTATCTCCACCAGCGGTCGTTCCATCACCCCAGCATCAAGTCATCGGTCAACCGCACCCTAGTACAGAGAGCCTTCGAGGTCTGCGACCAAGACAACCTCAAGCGTGAACTCAAGCACATCCAGACGTCACTACAACGGAACGGCTACAAACCCAACCACATCAAGATCAGCAAACCTGACCAACGGGTCCCCTATACCCAAGGTCCTCCCACTGTATCTCCCTCAGTCACTCTTCCTTACATAGGTCCAGCTTCTCATCATCTGCAACGCATCCTCCGACAAGCCGGCGTCAAGGTGTACCACTCATCTGGCAACAAGCTCCAAGGCAGCCTCCATACTCACAAGGACAAGTAGGACTCCTCTTCCAAGCCGGGAGTCTACCGCATTCCATGCGAATGCGGCAAAGTCTACATCGGCGAAACTGGTCGGAACCTTCCCACTAGGCTCAAGGAACACAGAGCACATGGACGGCGAGGGGATTTTGACAAATCGGCCATTGTCAAACATTCCCACATCAACGACCACAAAGTTGATTGGGATGCGGCCGAACTCATCGCACCGATCCAGTTCTGGCATCCAAGACGCATACGGGAAGCCATCGAGATCCGCAAGCACAACACAGTTCCGCAAGACATCGGGTTTCATCTCAACGACATCTGGCTCCCACTTCTCCAGACTGATGGGTCTCCTATACCCTAGGTCCTCAGCTACTACCTTAGACTGATGGGTCTCCTATACCCTAGGTCCTCCCTCCACTGACACTGCAACCCTACTGTTCCACTTCAGTGGGCACTAAGCTTGCTCAGGGATCCTGTCTACTTGGCATCCTCACAGGATGCAACTTCACACTCCATTGATTTCACCTTTTGCTACTTAAGTATTCACTTTCTTAGAGTTTAGGCACTCTCCTGAAGACGGTCAGAGCATACTGACCGGAACGTCGAGTTTATACCTCTGGTTCTTTTTTCAGAACCATTCTCTTAGTTGAGAAATTATTCGCACATGGTGTTTCCGCAAACCTTTCATTATTAAGCTTTAGAAGAGCGAGGGTGAAGCATTTCATGTATATTTGCAGTTCTAAGGGGTTAATAGTTTAACAAACTATTCTGTTGCTCTTTAGTTTACCCAAGTAACGGTCAGCATTAACCAATGAAGAGGTTTATTATTCTTTGGGAAAGACTGTTTGTTACACGTACCTTCAGTACATCCAAGGAAGTCCAACCTCAGCGTTGAGTTGAACTCAGAAGTGGACATAACAATCAATGTCACATTCATGACAAAACTCATTTCATTTGGGAAAAAGTAGTCGCTTGGTGTATCCCCTGTGAGGGTGGTCTCGAAGGTCTGTAATCAAAGAAGCTCATCAAATCAGTTTGGACCAAGGCCGGATTAAGTGTTTCGTAGGCCCTAGGCACCAGTGTTCCATAGGCCCTACTCCTGTCCTAGGAACCAGTACATGCCCAATCCCTGGTTTATTTTAAAAAGCCATAACAAATCAAATCATCAATAAGTCACCTCAATTTTTATCTGCAACACGTCCCGGTCTACCTACATACCAAGTTTCAAACCAATTTGACTTACAGTTCTGTAGATATATCATGTAGGACTTAAAAAAATGTGCATCTTTAAGATGACATCACATGACCCATGGTGACATCGTCAAAACATCACTCTTCTACTTAAAGAAGAGTGATAAAGTCTTTGCCTATGTTAAGTTTCGTTGGGACGTGACTTTGTTTTATGTCAAAAGTGGGGGCCGGAATAAAACGTATGTGCAATTTATATTTATATTTTCATTTATACGTGCAATGCCGAATGCCTGCTGAACGGGGAGTGCCTCAGCAAGAACATTGTGTACCAGGCCACCGTCACAAGGTGAACTATGTTCAAAACATAAAAAGCATGAACTCATTAAAAAAACAATGCGGAAAAGCCCTATGTTCTGTTCCCTAAACAGACATAGATATCTTCTTTTTTTTTGCTTTTTCTGTTGAAATGTGAAAATGTTTTGATTTGTTCTTATTTTGTTCTTCTTTTTGTTCCATCCCCAATTCCCAAGACTTTGTACATGTTTACTCTGCCCTTCACTTTTGACATTGGGTCATAAAAACTAGCATTTGCTTTTACTACCTATTTTTAAGCATTAACTTGCATTTGTATGAATAAGAATGAAGCAAATGCTTTTACTGGAAAGCATTTCCTACAAGCTAAAAGTATTTACTTTTTACTTTTTAGCTTTTGCTAGACTAGAAGTGTTTACTTAATTTGTATGAATAAAAAGGAGTAAATGCTCACATTTCAAGTATTTACTGGTCATTTTTCAAGTCTGGGTTGGGGCTACCTTAAGAATATAAAGCAAATACTTCTGTGCAAAAATTGCTACATTCATTCGTATTAACTGCACCAAAGCTAACACAAAACGTTAATAAACTACATGTAATAACATACACTTGAATGATGAAAGTAAACTTTCTGTATTCTGCAACTGTTGAAAAGTGAGAATCAAATGTACTCTACGTGCACTGTATGCATCACCTTGATTTGGACTATTACCCTACTTGAAAACCCTATGTGTGTGTGGTAGTTCGTACGCACAAACGAAACCCTATTGTTGACAACATGAAAACAATCCAACAAGAAGCTTTTGCTACCTGTTGTCTAGTGAATGCTGAACAGTACAGGAAAAGTTTTAGTCATACGGAATCAAGCATTTGCTTTTCCTTAATGCTTTTACTCCAAAATAAAGGCTTCAATTACTTTTTGCTTAAACTTCCTAGCATTTGCTAGTTTTTATTCATACGACCCATTGAAAAGACATATATCTAAACCTTAACATAAGGTAGACAAAGATTAAGTGAAATTTATGCCACCAGATAAAATTAAATGAGTTTATTTTTATTTTATTCACCATATTTTTGAGACAACAATTCGACATTTCCAAGAAAACGTCGTTTTAGATCATTGTTTGCTCTCCATTTCCGTGCAATCATTGGCAAAAAGGCCCAACTTAAGTTGGGATTAAAAAAAAATATTATTACAGGATTTACAAGTTATTGCGAATAGGTTTGTGCAGGTGCGGTTCTACGGGGGGGGGGGGGGGGGGGGGGGGGGGGCTAGGGGGGGCTGTAGCCACCAAAAATTTTGTCTAGCCCCCCAAAATAAATTCCGTAAAAAAAAAAAAAGGATTGTGATGTACATGCGAACGGTCTCCCCCTAAAGAAGAAATAGCCGTGACGAGGGTGCATTAGTTAATATAGTGTGAATGATTTTAGGACTTTATTGGCGCTCCCAATTGAAAATATGGCATGAGACACCCCCCCACCCCCCCCCCCCCCCCCACCCCCACCTATTGATTTTTGGAGGCCTGGGTGTCTGGAAAATAACCGGTCAACATTTCAGCACGCCTCCCTGAAAAAAATCTGGATCCACCTTGTTAGCCCCCCAAAAATATTGGTTCTAGAACCGCGCCTGGGTTTGTGTTCCTTAGATGGGTTTTATTTTTGTAGTTTCCGACCATACGTTTAGATGTACGAACCACGAGCCGTCAAAACGATGTCATTAAGCATGGATGGCCAATGTCGGGCCGTACTGGAGCACTGGCCAAGCTTGCTCCATGCAGAAAATCACGCTGCGCTATACGGGTCAGCGGATAAAAACGTATAAGTGGCAGATATGTCATTCTTTCTTGAATTGTCCTATTCGCAATAACTCGAAAATGGTATCATTATTTTCATCTACATGGTAATGCCTTTTATTTGTCCAGGAAACTGTCAAATATTTCTGAAATTGGATTGATTCACGCAGGGTTTTTGAGGTGTTGTTAGGCTTAGATGTCAACGAGGATTTTCAGGAGGAAGAGCAGTAATCCTGTCTATTGGAGGAGGTATCACTCCGATGCTCTAGTAATCAGCAGAACAGAGTAACTTCCCTGAAGCGTCACATCATGTGACGATGAAATAATTAAACTGCTTGTAAAACATTGGTGTTTGTTTCTAGGGTGAAATCGACAAATATTTGGAGCATCATGAGAGATTTGCTAATTGTTGCCAAAATATCATGATGGCGGGTTGATAAGTTGTGGCGTGGGAGTTGACAACTTGCTGTCAATGCGAAGTCACACATTGTTTGGTACAGCTTGGGCAACTTGCTGCCCAAGCATGTAATGGGAGTGAGCGACTTGCAATCTGTGCCAATTAAGCCATGCCGTAGCGGGCGGTAAGAGAAAAATGAAGAACAAGGCAGGCTGGACGAAAGGTATACGGCTAGCGTCCTCAAGGGAATAATGCATATTAGGGCTGTCCACTTTTATAATAATTTTGTTTTTCGATCATTGAAAACTGTGTTTTGACTGAATATTATCATAGCTGCAAACTTTTCAAAATCCAAATGAGTAACCAAACCGCAGTCAGTTTCAACTGTGCACATATTAACAGTGCATGTACCTGCTATACCAAGATCCCATATAGGTACATGATACACATGTATATGCATACCCTTCTTTTTGTGATTAATCTGTAGAGTACTGTAGGATATTTTGAGAATTTGTGAAGTCAAATAAATAATAACAATAATAACATGTGCACATGTTTTTCTGAAATGCATGTAATCGATGCTGAGTTTTGATTTTGTATGGTTTTACACACATTTACATTAGAAGGGCCAATGTGCGCAATAGAAATATCTCGCCAACATACCTTGCAAAACCCATGCTGTTTATTATTTCTGGATGTTGTGATAAACTCAAATACTTGTCACTATAAAATTGTCCCTTTGTTGTTGCCTTGGAAGTCGTGATGATGTCACATAAAGTTCGAAAAACTTTTTGTAAAACGTTTTGGGAATACTACAAACATGATGAAAACTTTGGACTCACATGGCAATCTTTTGGAGGCCATCTTAAAAAGCGAGTGTATGACACACACGCTGGTTCCAAGTCGTTTCACACATATATTATATGAACTGGCTGGTGCCTGGCGGTATCATTGATGTCAGAATTACTTGGCAACGGCTTGATATAACACATACATTACTACAAGGGCAAACAAAATTTGGCTGCCCAAAAAGTGGGTCCAAAAATTGACGGCCTGAGGTTCAGGGCTTGCTGACTGCTGTTACCATATTTTTATGAAGACAAGATGGTGGTGTATGCCATGGCTGTTTTTTTGCGACATCACTATAAAAACAAATAAAACAATTGTTTTTTTCGGGGGGGGGGGGGGGGGATGTTTATGGCAGTGGCTGCCATAGACTTATGTGCAATTTCAAACTGAAGCCGAAAGTTCGGACACAGCTTATTTGTAACTGCTTTTTCAGCGTTCGGTTCATAAAATCATGGTATCTAATTAACAATGTAAATGATTTTGAGGAAATTTGTAATAAAGGGCGATAAATTGGTAATTCGGAAAACAGCTTGCAATTTCGTAATTATTCTGACAAATTCGAAATGGTTGGCAGGTATGCCAATATAGTACTACTATACCTAGCACACATTTGCTCACAACATTTTTGTTTGGGGAATAAAAATTTCTCAGATGTTTGCCGAATGCTTTTGCTCAAGGGGAATACCTCGCATTAATAAAAAAAAAAGGTTCAACAACAAGCAAAGTGTGAAAGCAGGTTTGCATTTTTACAATCAGAGAAGAAAAACTCACATGGACTGTTTCTTGGATTGCACCTGTCAAGGGGAAAAGGTGCAGGAAGATTGCCTGGAGCTTGTATGTGCCATCTTGGTATTCCGCTGCCTGGAGTCTCACTGCATTAATATGGACCTGCTGCTTGAACAACACAGTGACTTTAGAGTCTGGCACACCGGGGCGCCATGGAATCTCTTCCCCGATGTAGGTGGTGACATCAGCTCCATGTGGTGGTCGGGTCTCTCGTGAATTAGCCTTTTCTAGATCCGTGCCAAATGGGCTCATTGGGTCCAAGCAAACACCTAATTGAGAAAATATATATAATTATTATATGTTCCCTTTACCCCAAGAAACAACTCAAAATAAGTACATGCTGAATGTTTTAACAACTGCCATCTATGTCTTGAAACCTCAGCACGCAGTACAATACTAATTTGAAAAACTTTGCAAGATACTGATTCATTTTTAAAGTTAAATTCATTCCATTCGGATCAGATGGGGGACTTCAGAACATGTACCTTTTTACCATCTATGCTTCTGATTGGAGCCTTCTTATTTAAAATATTTTGGACAATCCTCCAAAAGGCCATGGTTATTTCAGTGATTCACATATTGTTATTTCAGGTATTTTAATGAGTGGGTAACACCAAGATATTCGACAGGAAGCCTACAGTCAACTCTTTGGACTTAATCCTTAACATACACAAATCAATTAAGTCTATGAGGTTTCTCTACCTTGAGTTGTTGGCACTACTGTTGTAACACACTCTCCACGAGGTGGAGGACGTTCACAATAAATTCCAGTAGGGCTCTTCCTTGTGCCAGGAGGACAGCTTGCACATGTAATGCAGTAATCAGGGACATTGACAGGACAAGTCTGCTGGATGAGAACTCCATAACAGTCAACTTCACAGATGCACGGAGGGTTGCAATACTCTGGAAAAAAATTGGGGGGGGGGGGGGAAGAGAGATGAAAAGATGGTACATTTTATTCAACTCAGGTGTTATTTTGTATTGAGGAAGGTGTCACCGTAATTGTTTTCACCTGTTTGACACTTTCTTTCAATTTACAAAACTCACTTGATGAAATAATTGACAGATATGAGGGCTTAATCTCGCATTTTATCAAGGATTTCTGTTTTAACAATTTTCTACGAATGTCACTGTCAACTACACTAGTTAAATTGAACTGTTACAACGTACGTTCTTTTGTGGTGAAGGGTACTCCAGTTGTGGTTGGTGCTGCTGTGGTGATAAGGGTGGTTGGTGGTGCAGTGGTACTTGGTGCAGTTGTCCTGCATGAATCTGGCGAAGGTGGGCGGACACAGTAATGCTGATATCTCTGGGTCGGTGGAGGACAGGTACATCTTATGCACTCCTGTGGAACATTGCTGGGACAACTGTCATTCTCTACTTGTCCAAGGCAATTGAAATCGCAGACACACTGCTCATCACAAGTGTAAGCTATCAAATGTGAAGAGATCAAATGAAAACAAAATGATAACATTTAATGGATGCAAATCTCTCAGATGTGTTTTTCGCTTCTAAATAGGGTAGAACCAAAAAAATCTTACTTGTTGTTGGTGCAATTGTGGTAGTAAGGCGAACAGTTGTTGACGGTGGTGCAGTGGTACTTGGTGCACGTGTCGTTGACGGTGGTGCAGTGGTACTTGGTGCGCGTGTCGTTGACGGTGGTACAGTTGTACTTGGTGCGCGTGTCGTTGACGGTGGTGCAGTGGTACTTGGTGCGCGTGTCGTTGACGGTGGTACAGTTGTACTTGGTGCGCGTGTCGTTGACGGTGGTGCAGTGGTACTTGGTGCGCGTGTCGTTGACGGTGGTGCAGTGGTACTTGGTGCGCGTGTCGTTGACGGTGGTACAGTGGTACTTGGTGCGCGTGTCGTTGACGGTGGTACAGTTGTACTTGGTGCGCGTGTCGTTGACGGTGGTACAGTGGTACTTGGTGCACGTGTCGTTGACTGTGGTACAGTGGTACTTGGTGCACGTGTTGTTGACGGTGGTGCAGTGGTACTTGGTGCGCGTGTCGTTGACGGTGATGCAGTGGTACTTGGTGCGCGTGTTGTTGACGATGGTGCAGTGGTACTTGGTGCGCGTGTCGTTGACGGTGGTACAGTGGTACTTGGTGCGCGTGTTGTTGACGATGGTGCAGTGGTACTTGGTGCGCGTGTCGTTGACGCTGGTGCAGTGGTACTTGGTGCACGTGTTGTTGACGATGGTGCAGTGGTACTTGGTGCGCGTGTCGTTGACGGTGGTACAGTGGTACTTGGTGCGCGTGTTGTTGACGGTGGTGCAGTGGTACTTGGTGCGCGTGTCGTTGACGGTGGTGCAGTGGTACTTGGTGCGCGTGTCGTTGACTGTGGTACAGTGGTACTTGGTGCGCGTGTCGTTGACTGTGGTACAGTGGTACTTGGTGCGCGTGTCGTTGACGGTGGTACAGTTGTACTTGGTGCGCGTGTCGTTGACGGTGGTGCAGTTGTACTTGGTGCGCGTGTCGTTGACTGTGGTACAGTGGTACTTGGTGCGCGTGTCGTTGACGGTGGTACAGTTGTACTTGGTGCGCGTGTCGTTGACGGTGGTGCAGTTGTACTTGGTGCGCGTGTCGTTGACTGTGGTACAGTGGTACTTGGTGCGCGTGTCGTTGACGGCGGTGCAGTTGTACTTGGTGCGCGTGTCGTTGACGGCGGTGCAGTTGTACTTGGTGCGCGTGTCGTTGACGGTGGTGCAGTGGTACTTGGTGCACGTGTCGTTGACGGTGGTGCAGTGGTACTTGGTGCACGTGTCGTTGACGGTGGTGCAGTGGTACTTTCAATTCCTGTAAGGGTTGCAGAATTAGGTAAAAGGAATATTTACCGTGTCTTATTATTCTTGTTGACCCAATGCCACTTCAATAACAAAAATAACAGCCTTTTCAATAATATACGCATTTGGATTTTGATCGCGTAAATACTCTAACCTTCCAAATACTTACTTATCCTTTCATGTTGAGTTCACAAGAAAGAAACTGAAACACTTTTAGGTATCATAATAAGCAAATATATGGTTGAGGGTACATTAAATGTTCTTGGTCACCTGTTGTGGTGCTGACTAGAGGAGTTGTAAGACACTGCTCTCGAGGTGGTCGACGAACGCAGTAGTCCCCACGCCTCTGTGTACCAACTGGGCAGAAGCAACCTTGACAACTTTCTGGAACTACTGGCGGGCAGGCGGGATCCATGATAACACCATCACAATTCACATCACATTCGCATCTCGGACCACAGTCTCTTTCTGATTAAAAGATATCGACACAATTATACAAGGGAAGAATAAAAAAGACCAAAAGTATGTACTGTCTCCACCCACATCTCACTGTATCAAATATGCATTTTGGAGTCAATAATCAATCAAGTGAAGCTTTTAGTTAACTATTTCAACAAGAAAGAAAGGACTCGCTAATTACTGTTGTTGAGAAAAGATATCATCAACACATGACATCAACAACAATAAAAAGGATTGGAAATAGACAAGATGGAGAATATATCACTGACAGTATAAAGACTGAACATTTTTGTATCCTATATAGAGCAAGTTCACAATAATGCATACATTATGTATGGGGCATTCAGAGAATTCCTCCATCCCAACAACGTAATTCTTTAAATGTAATTTATGTTACCAATTATTTCAGCATTTTATTGGATTCAGATTTTTGGTGAGGCTGTTTCTGTCCAACTGTATTTTCAGTACTTGTGCACATTAGTATGTGAAGACTGGCCAATGACAGATTCACTTTCCATGTTAAAAATGTTGCTTTTCATTGTCTGTATATCATTATTGTCTGTATATCATCTATTAGAGCTGTCATAACCTACAAAGTTTGTATTGTTACCTCTGTTGGTGGCAGTGCTTCAGTCCAACTTTGCTTATTTTCATATTAGTTATTTCGGAGTTATTCAAGCAATTTTGGCTGACAACATACAGGCATTTTAGTAAAGGATAATGCCCGATAATGTTGACCATGCGGAGCCTGGTATAGGCCTAGCTCCTCAGCCCTGGGGCCAGCTATGGCACGCTGTTACACCACATAGACTGTCTTGCATTCAAGGCTAAAAAGGCTACCTGTGATGTCCCCTTATTGTTTCTAGCCCTCCATTATAAAGCATGAATGGACTGACTTATGAAATGGCGTTCATTGACAGCGATAGTGAGTTGTTTTTGACGCACGCAGAATGTGTATCAGTCTCAAGACAGTGAGGAATATCACTCTGATGATACATTAAAAGATACACCTCAGGTGAAATTAGAGAAACTCATGTACCAGTTGACTGCACTATATCAGATGATTACCAGAAGTTACTGCAGACTTCACCTGCCCTGGAAGGACAAGACTGTTTTGGCACACCAAGGGGAAATGAGGAAATTACGCGCATGAGTACAAAAACTAAATAGTAACAACAATCATTGCTTCAAATTAGCTTTGATGCATAAAAGGTATATTTTTTTACCGGTAGAATAAAAGTTTGATATAACTCCAATCTTGCATTCGTTGTCTGATTTAGTTCATTCAGTATGTAAAAAATACTTTGCATGCAACTGGCTCTGAATGAAAGCTTTGTGAATCAACACTGTCCAATACAGTGGATTGTCCCTTTTTATGCTAGTTTATATATTTAAAAGTTAACCAGTTTATGACTCCAAACAGTAATTTTCAGATTTTTTCTTTTTAAATTCTAATTACAGAACTGGTGATAATGTAGTGGTAAATTTTTCTGCATTTTGCTGTTTTGGTTTGGTGTTTATGTATTGTATATTACCTTTTTTTGCTATTGTAGCCATTTTCCCCTGTGTCGCATTGGAATTATTGGTGCATGTGCTATTTATTAATGATTTGATATTTTGAATGCTTTTGATTGGCTTTTTAATTTTTTTCTGGCATGTTAACTTGCATTTTAATTATGTTTGCTTCCATGTTGTAGTCCTTAGGTAACTTTTATCTTTTATTCTAAGTATTTTCATTTCCTAGGTATTATAGTTTTTATTGAGAGGCGATTTGCGTGATTTTACATAAAATGCCCAACAAATTTCTTCAGGATGCCCGGTTCTTGCTGATCAAGAAAAAAACAGACGGACTAATGAAGGATTGTGCTAGTATCTAAAACACTGGAAAAAGAAGCCTAAATTAGGGACTCAGTGACACTCACAAGAAAAAGACAAACCTGTCCTGCTGTATTGTCATACTGTATGACACTTATTTTGAGATTCAGCACAAGGAGCAACAGATGCATCCAGATTGCTTGAAATCCAGTCAAAAATATTATTTGCATTGTGGAGAGTGTTAAAATATTTGCTATGTCAGAAAAAGAATGCTTCCTGACTTTCATACAAACACGATGTCAAAATGAATAAGAAAATACATAGCATTCAATTTGACAAATGGTATAGCCAAGCTGCAAATCAGCAAAGTAATATTGTCATTCTTGGTGTTTCTTTACTTTCCAAAGGAATGGAGAGGTATCACCTCCAACGCTCCATTCGTGCAAAATAATGGAGAGATAGGACAATATGGTGACGTCACGGGTGGAGTTTATTCAGCTGCAGTAACAAGTCCAAACAATGTGCAATCACAACAAGTCCAAATAGGGGCTTGTCGTCTTCAGTCAATGTAAGGCTCACTATATGCAAGGAGTTAAACTGAAATGATACTGACATGTGTATGGGGTTTTAACTTTAGTGTTTCAGTTTAACTGATCCGTTAACCTTAACTTCCTATAGCATGATTTACTAGGAACCATACCCATCCTGGCAAATTCCAACACCATATGGGAAACTGCATACACATATTTCTGACTTTGATTCTGGAGGTGTGCCAACCCAATGTAAAAGACTGTCAGTTTAGGGGTACTGTACCCATCCTGACAGATTCCAACAAAACATGCCGTTGGGGTTTGATGGGTTGAGTTCTGTTACGGTTAAATTAATAACTGATTCCTTACGTGGTGTTGTAATTTCCTGTATGGTTGTAGATGGAGATGTAGTTGTCACAGAAATGGTTGTTGAAACTGAAATTAGAAACAAAAATAATGTGAGTGAGTTTGGGATGCTTTTACACAGAACTTGGACTCAAACACTTTACTGATGTCTGTCAGACAAGTCCGACTCGAATCAACCTAAACAACTACTAACTTAGTACTTATTCAATACAGAGTTTACAATTGGAATAAAGAACAAAGAATTCTACAATTACATTTGCAAAGACATTAAGGTAGCGTGTACCACAGCAAAAAAATAACAGGCATGCTTCACCAGCAGAGGGCACTAACGTAATCAAATATTCGTTCTGTTCACACAGCGTTAAATATCGTGCACATCATGCACATCATGCACATCTTTGTTGCACGTGCTCTGTATTCATAGCATATGCGCAGGTCATCACAAAACGTATGCAGTGTAGAAAATCTTTTACAATCAATAGCGAATGTGGAAGTTGAAACCTCACACAGTTGTATTCATTCATTCTTATTATACTGTTCAAGCAGAAATGGCTAATAATGATTCATAGATTATCAAGAATAGAAACTTGTCCTTTAGGGTATTTGTATCTATACTATCATCTCATTTCTTTTAAATATCTTCATTTCTTAGCAAGAAATGTCTTCCACCTTTTCCACTTTATGAAAACAAACCATTTCTTGTTCATCCCACACTACAGGCAGGATATAGAAGAAAAAAAATAGAAGAAAAAAAATTGAATAAACATATGGTAAAATGTATACCCACCTTCCACATTGCAGCCAAACAAATCAATAGTTTGCGATTCTGAGGTCGAGAATATTATCTTGATGGCATAAATAGAAACATCTTCTGGTTGGTCTGGTATATCAAGTCTCTCCCCTGAGTTCACTATTTCATTACTTCCACCAAACAAATACTTATCCACCACTGTGGAGTCTGGTTGGTATATTACACCGATCTTTACTACAACAAGGGCACCAGAGGTGGTCGTGAATTCCAGCTGGTTGATCCGGGAAGGCTTAGAAAAGACTATGATCAAGCTAGGACCAAATGGTGCAGTGGATGTCCAAGGCTGGTCCGCTGGAATTATTTCTGATGGGTTGTTGGATGCATACCGTGAAACATTCAATTCAGGAATCTTGTCCATGTCGTAGTTACAGTACACTGTGGGGTTGTACCAAATTGATAAATAAAGGTGACGTTTTCATTATATCACCGTATTCAAGGTCTAAAGAAAAGAGTGGGCTTTAACAAACGATAATGTTAAGTTAATTTGCCATTTATTTTGAAAATCATGTATAACATCTTAATCGCAAACATAAACCAACAATTCAAAGGGTGTTCATGTTGCTAAGTATTTGATAATAACATGATTGAACACATGAAAAGGTGACTAAACTTTGATAAATATCAACAAATCCTGTCTTAAAAAAAAACAAAAACAAAACTGACGTTAGTTTGTAACAACACATGGCTGTTTTTTGGCAATGTTCTGGTGACATCTAGAGTGCGTTTAATTATTTCCCCTGCGCTTACTCATGCAAGCGCGACAGCATTCGATTTATCTCTCACGTGACTTCTCCCGCTTACTAGAGCCTGGCCCAAGTAACTGCCTCGCCGAGCTGGTTACATGGGTAGGTATCCCATAAGGCCATGCAATAAACATGGCTGCTGACGGGCGCCTCAGGCCGTGTCCGAAACGGGCGGAAAAAGTGTTGCAACCTGACGCCACTTTTTCCTTCATATATCATCTCAACGAAGGTCATTAATTGTAAAAATTACGATAAGATGTGAATCTGGGATTGAGAAACATTTCCAATTTTGTTAGGAAATACTTTAAAAAAAATTCTTGACTCTCCATAGACTTTGTACACAAACCGCTGTCAGGTTGGCGTCAGGTTGCAACATTTTTTTCCAAAACGGACTTTTCAATGGGCTGCCAGAGCTACGGCTACGTCTATTGTCAGCGCGCCCCTGCGTATTTTCAATGGGCGTGGACCTAGACCTAGCTCTAGACAGTTGATTTGGATGCAGCCTGTGTCATATCAAAGTTCAACTTTCCAGCTCTTGCATGAACTTTACCCGAAACTGTTCCGTTTATTTAGCTCCACTGCGCATGTCTGTCATCACGCGAGGAGCCAGGTGCGAGTAAGCTGGGGAAGTAATCCAACTCACTCCTAGCATGTAGAGTTACATGCAAGTTTCATTCGTTTCGGATGTGTTGTTCTGTATCTTTATATCTTTGTAACTATTCATAAGATGGAATTTAAATCAGGGTTCAAATTACGATATTAGGTTTTGACCTTCACCGACCTATAAACACTGTATACTCAGTACGTGTGTTACCAGCCAAACAATCCCGGCAAGCTCGGTGGTTGAGTGGTAAGACGTCTGCACTAGAAAGCAGGATATTGTGGGTTCGAGTCCCACCTGAGTGATTTTTTTCTCAATTCCTCTCAGGGGGGTTAACACACACTGAGTACACAGTGTTAATAGGTTGGTGAAGGGCAAAACCTAACATCAAATATCTATGACCAAACGCTTGAGAATAAGTTGTTAGACAGTTGTGTTTTGTCTGTCAGGGTCCCCAATATTATACTAGCAAGGTGCTAGCTGTGTATTGTGTTTTTTAAACTAATTCCTGGCCTCGACCTGTCTAATACCTAGACAGTTGAATTCAGACAGTTATTTATACACCCAGTGAAATGCATGCATTACGTTTCCATAGAGAGGGCCAAATCCCAACCATATTGATGGGGAATCATCCATTATTAGAGTGGGGATATCTTTGGCTTGTGTGGCAGGTCTAAATTTATCTTGTATATTTTTCATGTATGTAATGTATAGTGTATTAAATAGGAGTAGCTCCCCTTAGTAAAAAGAAAAATCATTTTTGTTTTAGTTTAGATGTCCCCCCTTTCTTGGTAGTGTGTCCCCCTGGTTGTTTACTTAAGCCCACTATTCCCCCTATATAAGCTGCCACATGGTCAAGTCACACTTCAGTTCAACTAGCAGACCGACAGAGGCAACTTCATAGTATACCGGTATCTTATGTTCCTCCTAACTGGAGTGGTGTGTCCTGTTTGAGCTCTGTCTGCTCGAGTCATTTGATTTTATTCCTGCTTGAGTGTTCTTTGAAAGATCCACTATTCACACTGTGTTGGTTTTAGATTTTAGGGTTTAATTTTCAATTTCTTGGTTTTAAGGTTTAAGTCTCAACTTCTTGGTTTCAGGTTTTTGTAAATAAATTATTTTTGTTCCTTTTTTTTTTTTTAAATCTAGAACTTGTGTCTGTGTCTCTATTAATTCAATTTCCTCGCGACAGTTCCCTTCGAAGATCCTGAGTTTAGTACATTTCATTAGTTAATCCCCATATAGTCTTAGTTTGTGTGAGTTTGTGTGAGTTCCCCCAAGTGTGTTTTTGAACAATTTTCATCAGAAATATTACACTCAGTGGTAATTTAGACAAAATAATGTCAATTTTTTTTTTTTTAATAATGTGATGCATGGGATATCAAAAAGACCGTGGAATCAGCTTTCGACCCCTCAAGCAATCGTTCCACTCCTGACTGTGTCGCGTGCATTCACCACACGTACATTCACGTGCACCGAGACCGGTTAATGCCAGGTATAATCAATATTTCATAACCTTCTGTGTTCTTAGCCAATCACAATACTCTGTCCAATTTTAACAGCAAGTCCCATGCGTTGTGTACAAACCAGGGTACAGATTATTCAAGTCTTAAATTGGGATTGATGTACATGCATATTCGAGCAGAGGTGGCAACACATAACCTCGGACGTCAACACTATGCAATATATGGTACATGTAGTGTCAACACTGGTGGTACATGGTAGCGCGGCGGCACAGACAAACTAAACCCGATCAATTACCAACTTGTTTTCAAGTCTATGACTTAAAAAACTCATTACAAAAAAGAATTTTGAATTCAGCATGTTGCATTCTCATCTATAACACATTCCTGTATGTGTAAATTTTGTGTAAATAACAAACTTTCAAACCCAATTGGCTTTGTTGTTCTGTAGTTATAGGTCAATGAAAGATGCACCTCTAATATGACATCACATGACACATGGTGACGTCAACATGGCATCACTTGTCGTGGCACAACTTTGCTATGGAGTCTATGCCTATGTTTAGTTGCATTTATAAATGAATAAGTTCAAAAATCCGGTAAAGAAAACATCTGAACAAAAGCAAAGGCTTTTCCTTAAAGGTACAGTCAATCATTTGTAACATGTGCATTTTGTTCGTTTGAAGCAACAAACGTGCTTAAAATCTACAGCAGGGTGCTTAAAGGAATGTACATTTGGTTTGCTGTAATTTTCAGAAATAAGTGCATTTGGAGGATTAGTATGTTATAGCAAATATTGTTAAACTGACTTGTTTCATGTTTTGGGCTCATAGATGCTGGGAAACCAAGAAAACCAATCATGTTCTTGTAGTTTGGTTCCTTGAGTCCACTTAAGATGAAATGGAGCAATTTATAGACTTGAAGGAATTGTAAGGTCAGAGAATCAGTCTAGCAGGCTAGTACCCCTTTCACAGGTAATAAATTGCAAAGAAAATGCAGAATAACTAATTATGAAAAACTAGGAGCAGCTTTTGAAAAAAAGCCAGTTTTATTGAGTGCTGGTTGGCCAACCAGCGTTGGAAAAATACCATATTTCTTGAAAACGTCAGCTCACCAGGTGCCACGATTTTACAGGATGCTTAAGACTGTCATTGCCTAACAATCTAATAAGATATGTCTTGAGAATTTGATCACTTTGTTTTCTGATGTTTGCAAATGTTGTATATTCCCTTTAACAGCTAACCTGATGAAGTTTCATCTCAGTTTCAGCTGTATATTTCAAGAAAAACAACATTCTAGGATCTCGATTTCAAATCAAAAGTTGCTGAATCATGTTTTGAATTGGGCCTGGATTCAGCGTCTGAGACACGTTCTCACTGAGTCGACTGCAGCTACGCGATGTCGTTCACTGATCCGATGAATTAATGCAACCAGGCGAGTGTGTGCGTTGTGTCAACGCTTGCGCAAGCTTCACCAAAATAAAAAAGAATTACTAACCGAAATTTCCAACAATGCATCTTTAGATGCATCGTTGGAAAGGCCTTCTTTTGTTGATTTCTTCAAAACGACAGCTTGCCGGAAAGAATAATTTCAAAGGGAGTTTAGTCCCTTTACTATCTTTCAACCAACTATGTTTTTCAACACTAATTATGTCAGTTACTTTTAGGATAGCTGCATATGATGGACTGTAGCTTTAATGTTCATAGAAAAGCCCAAAATCACTACAAAAACAAAGGCTGTTTTGGTAAACTGTTGAAACAGGCAAAAACAAATTGTAAAAAGAACAGAAATCTATCTTACCAGGAGTAATGGTTGTAACAAGTTCTGTTGTGGTTGTAGTTACTTCATGCTCTGTGCTGGAAAGAATGGTTGTCCTTGTAGCTGTTCAAACACAAAATCAAATAAGGTCAGGAGTGATTTTGTCTGCCTTACATCAGTTTTATAGATTTGTGATTTTCCAATTTGTCATTTTTGAAATGACAAGAATCGAACAAGCAAGCTTTGATCCATTTACCAGCTTTTACATTTTGCAGTAGTTTTTACACACTATTACAATGCTCTTACTTGTGGTTGATGGTGCTGAGGTTGTTAGCCTACACCTTGGTGAAGTTGTATCTGGGTAACATGTGATATTGTTGAATAGGCATCGGCATTTTTCACACTCTTGGTTGCTATCCCATTCTTCTTCAGGCTGTTTACAGAAAAAAAAATCAACTCAATAATTGTAGTCTGAGATAAGATGCAGTAAGGACATGTTTAGCTTGAGGCCTGTGGATTGACACTAAATACTTACCCGTAGAGTATTACTACATATGCATTATTTCCTAGGGGGCGCAAGCCATACGCTAAGATTTATTACCCACAGTACCTTGCCACCAGCCCGCAATACTTCCTCCAGGTAAGTATTCACTAGTAGAATCGGCCCACACCTTGGTTGGGGGGGGGGGCAGCGTAGGAGGAACCGTATCCAGTTGTGCCGCTGGGGCAGTAGAGAGTGCTGCACGACCAGTTTTGTCATTGGCTTGCAGCACATCCTTCAGATAACAGGAGGTAAAGGTGTTGGAGGACTTCCAACATGTCACTTGCATGATATCTGCAAGGGACACTCCTTTGAAAAAGGCCCAAGAAGTCGTCACGCTGCGAACTTCAGGGGCGTGAACTCTGTTCTGGATAGGCCAGTCAGACGATGTGAGTCGTATGGCCTTCACGACTCAGCGAGCATTTGTGTCGCGGGACGCTGGACGATGTGGTGAAACCGTAGTTATAAACAGTTCTTGCTGGTCACTGCGGATCGATGAGGTTCGATGGAGGTACCACTTGAGGGTTCAGACAGGACACCAGAACTTATCCTCTGGGACAGAGGAGAAGGAACAAAGATGTCAGGTGGGGAGAATGTAGCCGACTGGTTCTTTGTGAGCAAAGAGCGATGGGGGATCAGGCAGACCCCACTGGGTTCCCAATGCAAATGTCAGGGCACGGAGTTCACTCATGCGGCAGGCTGTAGCTGCCCTCAGGAGGAAAGCCGTTTTCAAGGAAATGTTCATTAGAGTAGCTAGGCTGAGAGATTCAAAAGGAGGACAGGCAAGAGCTTGTAAGACCTGCCCTAGATCCGTTGACGGTAGGGGTGGTCGAGAAACATTCATGCCTCTGAGGTGTGTGAGGGCAGTGCAATGGTTAGAGTTGTAGTGAATGGATCCACCGCACACCATCTGCACCATTTATAGAAATGCCTTAGTCCGCTGTCATAAACAGTTTGGGTTGACCAACATCGACTATGGGCCGCGATGTCAGCAGCATCCTGAGAAATTCCAGTGTGTCTGAAGGAGCGCTCGACGATGGCCAGCATGCCAGGTGAAGTGCCCGCCAGATGGACTGCTCTGAGACAGACCACATGCTGGCGACACCAGTGCAGTAGTTGCCATGTTAGTAGGCGTAGGCTTGGGGAATGTGTCCCGCCTTGCCGGTTGATGTAGGACACCACAGTTGTGTTGTCGCAGCGGATGAGAACAGATTGACCCTGCACCATGTGTTGAAATTGGTGAAGGGCATTGAGGACCGCTGTCAGTTTGAGAAAGTTGATGTGGGGGGTTGTCTGTGCCAAAGTCCATGAACCTGCCGTTTCATGAGATTCCATCACCCTGCCCCAATCCCAGCAGTGACGCATCTGTCGTGATGGTCACAGTGGGCCGAGGGGGCTTCAAGGAAAAGCCCTGATTGAAGTTGTCTGGTCTGTAGTTGGAGCGGGTGGATATGTATAGGCGACACAGCGGAACTAAGTCTGTAGGGTTCACCAAAAGGGGCCGAGGAATGACAACCAAGCCAACGCTGAAGCTGTTGGTTGAAGTAAGAGGAAGGAAGCGCATTGACAAACATTGTCTATTTGCTCCTACGTCGGGTAAGCCGTGCCTGTTGTAGATTGAGGACGGCACCTAGGTATGTGGGCCATTGAAATGGGATTGGCTTGGATTAGGACTCATTGATGAGAAAACCCAGGCCTTCTTGCGGGCCCCAGGCAAGGGAGCGGGACTGATGGACTGAGTGAGCAGCTGCCGCCTGCTATTAGCCGATAATGGGCCAGTCGTTTAGGTACATGAACACCTGTAGACCTTGACGATGGAGGGCACTGGCTAGTGTCTACACAATTCTGTTGAAGACCCGAGGGGCCGTGGACAAGCCAAAAAGAAGGGCTTAGAATTCGTATGTGGTACCTTCGTAGGCAAATCGAAGGAACCTGGTGTGGTCTACATGGATTGGAATGTGCAGATATGCATCCGTGAGATCATGGGAGGCGGCCTGGCAAGGGAACTGCAGAGAGTCGATGACAACCATGAGAGTGCCCATGCGAAATGGTGGGGTCTTATGAAGCGGTTGAAGGGCCGTAGATTTAAGATCGGGCGCCACAACCCTGTGTTCTTCTTGGGTGTCAGGAAGAACGTTGAATGGAACCCCTGAGGTTATAGCCAAATGAGTGGCACCATCAATGTTTTGGAGCGTCTTCTTGTTACGGTTCTGTGCAGCGTCTGGGAACAAGAATGTAGTCAAAGCCCGATGACCAGAATCAGAGGCCAGTTTATCACGCACTTAACCAGCAATGGTATGGGCTTGGTAAGATACTGGGAAGTCTTGTATGTTGGGAAGGAAACTCAAGTGGTGAATATGAAGATGCAGTTTGGGTTTGTCAAACACAGAATGAATCTGTTGTAAGCAAACAAGATCGCAGGGAACCATTGGGGTGGGATTGGGAGTGACTAGCGAGTCAGGAGCCATTAGTCGTTTAAAAGGTGTTTAAAAAAAAAAGAAACCCAACCTCAAAGAATGAGTATGGACAGATGATATGTTTACAGGCTATAAAACTGGTATCATCTGAAAGTGTCATCTCTCTGGTTTTCAATGGTACCGTGTTTTCTGAGTCATGCATCAATGAGCATCATTGTTTTGAAAACTGGATGCAAAAATGCAGTTGGTTCACTTTCATAAAAAAAAAAACCCACTGGGCACAGTGTGCATTTTGTTACGGAAATGTCTGTGAAATGGCTTGAATGTTAATCCTCGGGAAAATGGGAACATTGTTTTGAACATGGCTTGGGCAAAACGAGAAATTCATGGCAAACAATAAAATCCAGTTTGAAGCCAACCTGACTTGTTTTTTGGTTTCTTTTCTTCTTCTTGAATACTTATTCTCATGCACACCATGTCTATTGTGTTTGACATGAAAGTGAACCAAGTGCAATTTTGCATCCAAATCTCATGACAGTGGCGCTCAGTGAAGCATGACCCTAAAAATGTAAACAAGGTATCATTGAAAAGGATAGAGATTACGCTTTCAGATGATACCAGTTTTAAAGCCAGTAAACACTTAGTCTGTCCATACTGGTTCTTCAAAGTTGGGTTTCCTTTTTATTGAAACACCCTGTACAGGTTCAGAAAACTCCAATACATGTGTCATGTCTCGTTGTACCAAGCGATAGAGCATGGCCATGGAAGCTGGCATACTCGAGTCTTCTTCATGTTCGAAATTATCACGCTTATTGGATGGTGACCTAGGTAAGGGGAAAGTGGCTTGCAACTCATGCAACACTTGCCCCGCATAAAGTCTCACTTGTTGGTACAGCAAAAACTGCCGGTTATAACACGTAGTGCCAGGTAAATAACCTTAGTCATTTTGAAGACAAAGACTCCAAATAGTCAGTGCAACGTGAGGGATTGGCTAAGTAGCGAATATCACACTGATGGGTCGGTTAGTAGCATAGAGCTATATTAAATTACAAGAGCGCTAACTTTGTGTACAAAGTAATGCCTGCTGGGCGCATCCATGTTTGTGCACAAACCTATGGAGACCTAGAAATTTTGTATGGCTTTTGTACGGCTATTTGCATATCTGCGTTTGTATTCCATACCATTGCGTTATCAAAGCCAATATGCTCAAAACCGAAACGCACAATCAGCAAATGAGCGTGTCATTTTGCTCTACGCAAACAGCGCAATGTATGCATGTATTCGCTGCAGATGCTTTTTGCCGTCACGTTTTTTTTAACCATCATGATGCGCTTAAGTTGTTTGCGGTGTTCTACTTCCGCGTTGCATGTAGAGTACACTTTCAAAATTCAATCCATCTAATTTCATTATGTTCTACAAACACGCAAATGAATTCAAAATGTTTACACCCAGGATGGCTTCAAAGCGTCTCCGCGTGCAGAATGGCGAGTTAGCACTCTAGTAATTTAATATAGCTTTATGGTTAGTAGTGGGTTAGTGGCTTGCAACTCGTATGATACTCCCCCCCCCCCCCCCCCCACCACACAGAACCTGTGTGAAGCCCCACTTGCTCAGTACGACGTGAGCTACTTGCAGCCTGTACTAAGCCTCACTTTAAGAAGTGGTCATGTGAATGTGGGAAGCGAGCAGCCTGCAACCTGTGCGAAGCCTTGCTAGATGGGTACGGCGTGAGCTACTTGCAACTGTGTGTCAGGCACAACTGTCAGGCACACGGTCCTGGTCGCAAGAACCGCTTAACAGGAGTGAGGGACTGGCAACCTATGCTGTGCAAGGACTCACTCCAGAAATGTACTCGTAACGACCAAAGAAACACCAAGAAAAACTGACCAAAATAGTACCAAAACTTACTCAACTTGTAGAAACAACAACAGAAGACATAGTAGAATAAAGCTATGAACTTAGCTATATAAATGGCTGAGGAAAGACTTTGAAAATTTTGCAAAGCAAGAGCTCTGCAAATAAACATCTTTCACGAAACGTCACTAAGAGAAAAGAGAAGTATGGTGAGCGGGCCGCAAGGTACTGTGGGCAATAAATCTTAGTGTATTGCTGGCGCCCTCTAGGGAATAATGAAAATGTAGTAATACTCTACTGGTAAGTAGAGTGCAGTAGAACCCTCAAGTACAACTACTTCCTCATTTATTCGAGAGACCTGAAACGTTGCATACAAAATGGCAGCTCATGTAAAATATTTTTTTTGGCGGGGGAATAATCTTTGCTTTGGTCCTTTAAAATATATCATGTATTTGAAAACATATCATAATCTTTGTTTTAATCAAAGGCGTGATGGGGATGAATGCCCAAGACAAAAACGATCTGAGAAAATGTGACTCTATCAAAATCTTGTGAAATGAAAATCAACAGGACACCTACAATTTTTCCCCATGAATAACACTGTATCTGCATAAGAAATTGTCAAAGTGAGCATTTGCCAAACTGAAGATGAAGTTTGCTCTTTCCACTGGATGTTATTTATTGTTATGAAAATGCAAGTGAAAAATGTCTTCAATATCATTTTTGGTTCCAGTAACAATTGTCACCTTCCTACCTGTCTGAGTTGACCATTTTCATCGAGACAGAGGCAGTCCTTCGGTGGTACACACTCGGTCCCCGTTATACACTGTTCCAGGCATGCAATCACAGCATATGGTAATCTGGCTGATCGGATCAGTTACTTCAGTCCTGTAGCAGTTACCATCTATGCATGCACGCTGTTGACAGGGTATGTTGCAGTCAGCAGGTTTCAGGCCCATCGGACAAGCTACCATAAAAAAAAGAAGGGGTGTTATATGATGAATACATTTCCACAAGCAGAGAGAAACACCTGTCCTATCAGGGGTATTAATCATGAACCTGTGGTAGAACAAAATAAAAGCAAACTCCTCAATAGGGCTGAGGTACATTTCTGTATGAAAGACTGAAGAAATAGGATGCAACATGCCTTTTTTCATTAAATAAAGAAATGAATTGAAAGGAAAAATACAACTTGCATTACATTTATAGCCCATGTACAGGAAAGGCCCATGATTGCATAATATTGCATGTATTAAAAAAGCAACAATCAATGTACTCACTCGGATTTGGAGGTGGTGGTGTTCCTCGGCGAAAAAGAAAAGAAAAAAAGTGCAAAAAGTAATCTAGTTACACAAAACTTACGTCAAAGGGAGACACAATCAAAAGTACCCATTGAAGAGACTCCTAATTGTGTTGAAGTCCCCGCTGCATGTCCACAGCCCTACGGTTCTGGTTGAATGATCGTATCGGAATGGGTGGTACTACTAGGAAATGCTCATACTCTGCCTGGGCGATCTGGTAGTATTTCATTTTCTTGCACGAAAGGGTCTCCCCATTTTTGCACTCGCGAGTTTTTGTTTTCTTCTGCGTCAGTGCACACCATTCCAAATGGTAAATAAGGAAAGAGGGTCCTGAGCTAAAGCTTGGGAGGAAGCCTGTTCTACACCTGACTATTTACTTTCAGGCTGACCGCTTCATCCACTGTTGGTATTTTCAATACTCAGGCCATTTCCCTCTGTAACAGACGAGAGTTGCATCATGAAGGAGACAGGTCCCCTGGGTCAGGAAAATCATCGGACTCCAAACAAGTTTTGTCCGAGGATGATTCGTAGTTTGGTTTTGCATCACTCCACTCCACTTTTCAGCACTGTTCTTGGTCTTGTCAGAGAACTGCGAAGATGGTTGGATTGAAATGGATGCATAAGGAATTTCATGCACCTCCTGTGTAACTCCTGAAGTTGAAGGCACATATCTGAATTATCTTGAACCCTCGGCATGGAAGTGTTCTCCCGATTTGGGTATTTGGATTTTGTTCCACATATATAAGAGGAGGTAAAGACTGTGGGGCTCTTTGTGCAGCAAGAGCAGATATAGAGTCACTGATAGTCTGAAAGGCTATCATGAAAACCTTGGTAGATACCTCTTTTCTCTCTCTGCAAATGACAGAGAAATGCAGGAATGTCCATCGAAGAGTTGCCTGAAGAGGACGATGAAATCGGTATCGACGCTTGTATTTTTAGCGTGTTTCTTATCTTTCTTCGGGGTACAACTTGCAACACCGCCCTTGAGTACTTGAAAGACTAAGCACTTGAACTCCAGAACACTGATCAAATCTGAGCTAGATGCCATGCCGCTCAGGATGGTTGGGCAGCGGTAGATCGTCCATTGGTAGAACAGGGGCCGTGGAATTACCGCCAGGACCTCGGGATTTCCCCCTTGTGTCCTTGGAGGATTGGGTGATCCATTTGATGGTACTATGGTCAATAAGCCAGCAGGTTCCATGGTGTGCACGTGCTATCCGTGATCTTTTTCTTTGGTTTGGGACAGCTGGTAGTTGTTTTAGTGTTCGTTGGTTTCTTTGCTGGGACTTTCCAGCAATTGTTTACCCATAGCGGCGTCAGTCCGCACACTCTCCGCTGTGGGTTCCATTTTATCGGGGGACTATTCCCCTGTTTGCTGCATAAGGCCATAGAAAGGAATACACTGTACTCGGTTGGAAGCACCACAAAAAAAGCACTAAAAACAAGGTCTGCTTTCGTTGTAAATGGTGCGTTGTGACACAACCACTGCACACGGAATGTAAATAATAATTGCGTCACTATTGCGTCACGCATCACATGTCTGACGTGCTGGTATAGTTAGACGGTGCTGTTCTAGGAGTAAAAATAAAATCACCATGGCAAATTGGACGTATTCCTATTAGAATAGGATTACGTACCGGTACATATGCCCACTAGCGGTGTATGCTCCCTGTTTCTATCCACTATTGACCAAAGACCACTGATGTGAAGCAGTAAACGCCCAAGGAAAAAACTGTTGCTTCCTAGCTGTGAAAGGATTAACTTTGTTCTCATCTGCTACTGACCAAGCCCGCTGTGGCAGGAACGACCATGCCCCAAGAAGAAGTCGGTCTCT